CTTCGAGCAGCGCCGTGAGGAGTGCGCCGAGGGTGGGAAGTGGTGAGGCTAAGATCGGATGCTTGGGATGGTACTTGCGAAGGTCTTCTGGCTGAGAATTGTCATGTCATTCGTTTCGACTGAACGCTAAGCACGCAAAACACAATAGGTTCCGATAGTACTCGTATATTGAAACATTGCAACTCATGACGTCGCCTAGCAGACATTGCTCCCACCAACTTTCGTCGACGCCGCCGTGTCCTTAACCTCACCAAATACCTGCAGGAAAGCTGCCGGCTCTTCCGCACCCTGCACCTCGTACTTCCCATTGATCGTGAAGTTCGGTACACCAGTAATGAATTTATGCTGTGCCTCGTTGACCTCCTGATCAACCTGAGGCCCACCCTTATCACTATCCATCCACTCCCTCGTCTCCTTCTCATCCAGACCAGCCTTGATACCTCGCTGTATCAACACATCCTTCGACGTGATGTCCTCGTTCACTTCGAAGTAGGCATTGAAGAGCTGTTCTACGACTTTGGTTTGCATCTCCTCTCCTTTCGTCTTTCCGAGCTGAATCAGGCGATGGCTGTCCCTGGTGTTGCCTGTCATACCCTTGAAGCCAAAGTCAATACCCACCTGTTTTCCCAACCTGAGGAGGTGACCTTGCATGACATGAGTTCGCTGCGAGCCGAATTTACGCTCATAGTAGGCTTGTTTGTCCACACTTTTGGGCGCATCGGGATTGAGATAGAATGGATACCAGGTCGTTGTGAAGGTATCGTTCGGATTCGTCTGCTTGTGGGCGTCGATCGCTTTATCCAGCCTATTCTTGCCGACATAGCACCAAGGGCATACCTAGTTATATTAGTCTGGATCGTATCGGTGGTTGTACTGGCCAGTCGTATACCGTGTCCGAGACGATATCGATCTTGTACTGCGTCATCCTGCGTAGAGTCGTACGGAAAGCCACACTGAAGGCGTGATGGGTTCGCAAAATATGAGAGGAGGGGAAGAGAGCTCTACTTAGCTTTACCTATGGTTTAGTGGTAGCTTATGTTGTTGTCTGCTAGACTGTGCTCGCTCCTAGGGTAGCTTTGTGGTCAAGTGAGGTTTCGATTATTAATTATGGACCGAGCGACGGCACTGAGCCGTCATTCCCGGTCCGGTGGCATGTCAGTCGTGGGCATAACACAAGACTCAACGACCATTTGTGGGTATGGATATGCACAATTCAGATTTGTGCTTGTTTCAAGGTGGAAGTATGAAAGAGGCAAAGTGGGAGCACGCTTGTTGCGATGACTCGTGGAACTCGACGAGACTGACGTCTCGTCGATCTGATGAGTTAATCCCGATCAATTCCGAACTTCGGGCGCACGATGGGGACGGCCATCGAGACGAGAACAGAAGGCAGCAGCGAGGGATGAAGGCAAAGACAGAAGACGGCAGCGAAGGACGATGAGTAGCATCTGATCACATATTCGCCACCTTACAAATTTGCCCTCTCCTCCCTAACTACAACTCCATGCTCACCACTCCTCGACTTATCCCTCAACACTCTCCTCAAGATCTTGCCACTGGCAGACTTGGGAATCACATCGATGAACTCAACCTCCTTTACAGCCTTGTATCGAACCTTTTTCTCGCGCACATATGCGATGAACTCTCGTCCAAGCTCCTGGCTGGGGTTGTAGTTCGGCTTTGGCACGATATAGGCTTTCGGTACTTCGCCAGAGTATTCATCTGCTATTGACAGCACCGCGACGTCCTCGAGTTTTGGGTGGCCGAGGAGGCAGTCTTCGAGTTCGGCGGGTCTGTGAGAAGTCAGTGACCGTCATTTGTGTTGGTGTCCCGCTCAAGTAGACTTACGCGACACCAATACCCTTCACCTTGATCAACCTGTCAACACCTGGTCAGTTATTGCCTCCGGCATCTATGCTGTACCATGTACTTACTCTTTTATCCGATCGGAGATGGTAATGACACCTTGTTCATCAATATATCCCTGGTCACCAGTATGTAAGTAACCCTCATCATCAAATGTGTCCTTTGTCGCCTTCTCATTGTTCAGATATCCCATGACGATCTGAGGCCCCTTTGCCAGAATCTCACCAGGCTCGCGGATCCCAGCTTCCGTCCCATCTTCCTTCATAATCTTGACCGTCGTGCTGGCACAGATCTCACCTACGGCATGAGCATACTTGTAATCGTATAGCCATGGCGGATGTGCCGTAATACACGAACATGACTCGGTCATACCATAACCTTGCTTGAAGCCGGTCTGCGGAAACTTTTGTTTGAGAAGCTGGATGATCTCTTCACTGAGTGGTGCCGCGCCGCTGGAGAACCTCCTGAGGTGTGAGAGGTCGTATTTGTCCACGATGGGATCTCTAACCATGCGGATCAGGATCGGTGGTACCAAGAGGAGTTCTCTAATCTGGTATTCCACGACTGTGTCAAGCATGCCCTGCATTGTGAATTGTGGTACCATAATGACTTCGGCATTAAGAAGAATTGGTAGATGCAGCACATGTACAAGACCGGTGATGTGGAAGGCGGGCAGTACAGCCAATATGCGTTTCAGATCCGAAGGAGAGATTTTTTGAATCTGTAGACATTGGGCGATGACATTTTGATGAGCGATCATAACAGCCTTAGGCAAACCAGTAGTACCGGATGAGAACGATAGGAAGCCACAGTAGTCGAAGTTTGTCTTGCCTTTTGGTATCGTCCAGTATGGTACCTGCAGGCGCTCTTTCCGTCCCATATCGATGAGCTCTTTGATCGTCGTATACCCATCTGACTGTCCTTCGAGCAGGAAAATGTTCTGCTTAGGGATACCAGCAGCTTTCGCCGAAGCTGTCGCTACTTCCATACTATCTGGGTGTGTCATGAGGAACTTGGCATCAGCCTTTTGTAGTGCATATGTCATCTCCTCGACATTGTACGCCGGGCTAGCTCCCGACACTTTGCCTCCTACACGAAGTGTCGCGTGCATGGCTACAGGATACCATATCGTGTTCTGGCTGAACAGTGCCACCGTTTCGCCAACTTTGAGACCATATCTCTTCACCAAAGCTGTTGACACGCATGTCGCAGCGTCCTTGAGCTGTTTCCAGTTGAGGCTCTCTTTTGTGACTGCGTTGGTAAAGCCGCCGAGTTCATTCTCTGGAAAGCGAGCTAGGGGTGAGTACGTGGAGTGCTCGAACAGCCACTCCCAGGTTGTTATGTCGCGCGGAAGGAGGATGTCACTTTGTAAGCTCTTGAAAGGCATGGTGAGGTTTTGTGTGGCCAGAAAGAGAAATCAAACGGAGGAGAACTTGGTAGAAGAAGGGTACTTAGCTTGACTGACGATCTATAGGTGCCACATAGCTACGCTGCAGCCCGCATGAGGTATCCTCGGCCACGATGCTGGCAGCAGAGCAGAAGAGCCGCTTGATCCCTCGGGTCTTGAAGCTGTCACGAAAGGCGGGGAAGATTGGCGGAGGTGAACGAGATGCCAGATGGTGATGGTTGGTCAAAGCGTCGTGGGCATTTATTTAATCATGAAGCACTTTCTAGAAGCACAATGTTCGCCCGAGACCTTGGAGAACAGAATTGATAACTGCCAAATCGAATCAACTCTACAGTGTGGCAGTAATCGCAGAGGCGCCGACTAAATTTAATATCAAAGCAACTATCCGTCGATAAGCAGGTCCACAACAATCTTGCAGTATTCCCATCTAGCCGATGCGACCTTGTCCAAGAGTGGTGGTTTCTACAAGGTCCGAAATGAGCAGCGGCTGGTTTCTAAAACCGGGAAAGGGGGAGGATTCCGCGAAGGACTTCAATTCGCATAAGCGTATGGCAAACAGCCATCCAATGGTCACCACCATCGCCGTGCCACGAATTTGCGACACTCAGTCGTGCCGAAGTCGATTTGTGCTGATACCGAAAATCTGGCAGATGAGCTAAGCAGTAACGGTCGTCCAGTCGTTTTGCTGTCATTGTCGAGGCTGTTACACTTTTGAACGTTCTTTGGCTTGCCTCGAGTCGTTTCAAGTCGAACCTGGTGTGCGGCCCCCCACCATGATAGGTACGACAGACCCAGCAGCGAGCCAGACGTCAGGATGGTCAATCGCGGCATATAGAGCACGCGTGGCACCAGAGTGTGTGGTTATGGACACAAAAGTGCTGGTATCGGTATCGAACAGATGCTGTAGAAATGTTCGCCACAGGTCTGCATGCTCATCAAGCGTCTCTCGACGGTCTGGAGTCCATAGTTCATCCTCCTCCGATAGTCCTGGAGCCAGCACGAAGTCCGGAAAGTGCTCCGTGATCGCTGAAGCACTACCTCGTTTGTCACAAGTGTGCACACCATAGACCTCGCGGAGTTCCTCGGTTACCACAGGTCTGCTACGTCTGAGATCAAGGACGTTGGACCATGTGGCGTCGGTCGTTTGTAGACATCTCCAAAGAGGACTAGTATACAAGCTCTCGGGCGGAGGGACAAGATCGTGATTGATTGCATTGCGCCAAAAGACACCAAGTTCTCGAGCTTGCTTGAAGCCTTTCTCGGTGAGGCTGGGATTCAACCAGGTGACATTGCCATCGCCTTCGAGTTTCGACCAATGTCGCTCCCATTCGTGTCTGCCGACCTCGCGCTCCTTGACGTTGTGGGCGCCTGTACTCCTTTAGATATGTTCGTTCCTGAGAAAGGTGCTGTGCAAACTACCTTCACCATGTCGAGCCACGTAAAGTACTTTGTAGCGTTCACGTTGTGGATCAATCCCATTCAATCTATGGAGATGTTGATGAAGGCGTTGCCATTGGGCATCATTGTTGCTAGTGTCGCAAGATGGATACTCGCGATCGAGTATACCAAGCCTAGGTAACGTCTTGGCGCGGAAACCACTATCTGGGCCAGTCTGTTGCTGATCGTGAGAGAATATGCCCGGAACGTATGTGAAACCGCTGAACGATTCTTGCGCTTTAGCCATTTCTGACAGCCGAGACTTGATGTATGGCCAGCAGCAAATCACAAGGAGTGTAACCAGTATTGTCAGCACAGCTTCCAGTCGTCGCAACATCACCTTGCACTCTCAGCACAACAATACACAAAAGTGCTGGCTTAGGAGGAAGTAGCTCTGACAGCTTCTAGCCTTTAACATCACGGCTTACTCCCGCGCCACATCACACCACCAGACTGGCTGCATGACTTGGCAGCTGAGACGACTGTGTACCACATGAAGACCAGATCTTCTTCTTGTCTTACTAACACACCAGGGCCCTTCTTCGTTCAACTGGACCCGGTGACAAGACGGCAGCCCAATAGTCAAAGTCCCCAGTTGGAGTAGAAGCTCGAAAGTGTCCGGAATTGCATGCACCTGAAACAATGGTACTACCACATTCCAAGAACAATATACCTGGCGCAGTGTATAAGAACGTCCAATTCGGAAAACCACTGGAGCAGCTGCGTCTACTCCAAATACTGTCAGTGGAGCCGACTATAGAATGCGGGCTGACACTCTCCTCCCTACGCCACGACACGCCGTTCACAGCACTGTCTTATACTTGGGTAAATGCACTGCATCCAGATCAGCCAGCCACTAGCGGTTCAACGCAAGAAGGCACGTTCACGATCAAGGTCAATGGAAAGCGTTGCCGCATCCTTGAGAACCTCTATGATGCACTGAAAGCATTCGGCACAGATCCTGGTCAGTATCTATGGGTTGACGCCATTTGTATCAACCAGCAAGACGTGCGTGAGAAGACATTCCAAGTCCAGCTGATGAGTACAATATACACGGACGCAGCCCAAGTAATTGTGTGGCTTGGCAAAAGCGACACATACACTCAAGATGCTGTGGAACTGATCGAGCATTTGGGATTGCTGGAGTCATCCGAGCGCAGGAGAATTCATTTTGCAAGTCTGGAGACTAGAGAAATTATAGATCTCTTGGATGACGAGTTCCACCGCACAAAATACTGGGTGGCTCTGGCGAAATTCTTTCGACGCACGTGGTTTACGAGAGCGTGGGTCGTGCAAGAAGTGATCCTCGCTAAGCCGGAGAGCTTGGTTGTACGTTGTGGCGATCATACGATTGCCTGGCGATCGTTGAGGCACGTGTCTGGTTGGCTCAGCCAGAGCGCCTGGACGACGACGTTCGCCGATCCTACTTTTGTAGGCGACTCTCTTCTACCGCCACGCCTCAGTGCTGCTGCTAAAATCGGTAGTACCCTGGATGATATCGATAATATGAGCAAGAAGTCCTTCAAAGGAGAGCCGCATGACGTGTTCCTGGATACCCTTATCAGGGTGCGCGACTTCGATAGCGAGAGGCGCCGAGATAAGGCGTACTGCTGCTACGGTATCGGAGAACGCTATCGACTTAGGAGTTTCCCACTTCCGGTTCCGGACTACAGCGATAGCATAACGGACGCCCAAGCCTTCACGCAGACTGCGCGGGCTGTGTTGCAGATGTCGCAGAGCCTACACCTGCTTGCGTATGCCGAGAGCGAGAGAACAGTCGACCTCGATGGTAGGACCACAATGCCATCTTGGGCACCAGATTGGTCTGTGCCCAAAAAGGTCGGCCTTGGTATTACCGGTTACAAGCGGTTCTACGCTGCCGGAAACCTGATGCAAATTGTTGAGTTCACAGGTCCGGACAACATAATTCTGCGCCTCAGGGCAGCCAAAGTCGATGAAGTCGCGGCACTCGGCAACACCAAGGAGGAGATGGCTCGTGGGGACAATCTTGATGCAACTTACGCACTTCTACATCGACTCCAAGACCATGGCGGAATCGGGCACGATACGCAAAGCCGCGAGGAAGTGCTGTGGAGGACCTTGATACACGATACATGCCCAGGCAGTACCTGTCCCGCAAGCGAGAAAGTACGACATGGCTTGCGCCCTTGGCTATCAGCTAGGCCTGGCCGCGGCGGCCAAGCTATCATGGATCTGCTTGACCAGCTGGCGCCTACTCGAGACGGCGCAAGTACTCAGGATGTCCCGGAAGACCCGACACGACTTGACGAGCACGCAGCGGAAATCTCCGCTTTCGCCACAAATTATGCCCTTCGAACGTGCCTGAAGCTTTTCCAGACTTCGACAGGCCTGTTGGGAATGGGCGCCGAAGCAATTGAGCCTGGTGATTCCGTCTGGATTATTCCTGGCTCCAGAGTGCCGCTGATATTGCGAAAGCCATTGGATCCGTCCTATCAGGGTCCGGATGACTTCAGACTCGTGGGTGCTGCATACATTCATGGTTTGATGCATGGCCAGGCACTCGACTCGCAGCCGCCACCTAACTGCAGTAGGACCATCAACATTCATTGATGACTGCGGTCCACGTACGAGCATGTCCGGCAGACCAAGTAGTGTACAAGATCGTGTGGCTCGATAGATGGCGCTGAGACAATCAATGTCATGCTTCCGCCCTGTGCAGTCTCACTCAAGGCTAGCATCGGCCGTGGCATGCTTGCATAAAAAAGCAAAGCTGGATCTGGTGCTCCACGCGACGTCGCGAAATCGAAAGGGAAGCAAACAAGTGTATATACACATGTGCTCCATGCACCCAGTGCGGTATATACTGCGCTTGGAACGTAGCCTTTGAGCTCATATCAGCTCCCTCATCAGCGCCAATAACCTGGACGCACCTTTCTGATCATGCAGCGACACAACTCCTTACTCGCGGCCCTCGTTCTGCTCACCGCATGGGTAGCAGCTGTTCCTCTACCAACGAGAAGTAGTTCGATCTCTACACAGTGCAAAGGAGGCACTTGCTGATCGTAGACAGACGCCGCCGTGCACGATAACACTGCAAAGATCTCAGCAAAAGATAGGCTTCAAGAACGAGATGCGGTGGCCATGGCATTTGCTGTGACGTTGCCAGGCGCGCAATAGGACGGTGAACCGCAAGATCCAAATTTATATGGAAAGCAAGCCGATGCGGAGAAATTGCGAAAGATCTTGAATAAGAGAGGTCCCTGAAAGACCGGTCTGGAGAATAGGACTCGAACGCATCTATGCGTGGTTGTTGTTCGAGCGCTCGGATGTGATCAGAATTCCATACTATCCGCACCAGCAGCGACGTCCTCCTCTCGGCCTCTCTTGCCCTTGTTCTCCTCCTTCAGCAGTCCCGCAACATAACCCCGGAAGAACTCCACATACCCCTTCAGCCTGGTCTTCTGCCAATCCTGCACCTTGGCCTTCTCGTCTGCACTCATGCTGTCCTTGTGCTCATTGTCCCACTCGTCAATTTCGCGTAGCAGCTCTGTGACAGTCGGGACACTCAACGGATCGAAAGCCTCCAGGTCTCGAGTGTCGATTGGTACACAGACTCGGCCGGTTCCGGGATGTACGACGAATGGTGATTTGAGCAGATGATTCAGCTTCTTGGACACTTCGGCATCAAGACGTGGGTATGTGTACTCGAGTCGAATGTCTTGTTTCGCTTCAACAAGTTGCTTAGCAGTCATGGTAGAAAGATGGCCTGCTTCAGCGACGGCATCGATGTCTGCCCATCTCTGGTTGGAAGTCCGGCCGGGCATGCTGTCCCACTTCTTCTGTAATGCCGTTGTCAGGCCCTTGTCCGGCAGCAACTGCAAAATTTTATCTGCTTGCTCAGTCGACGCCCAGGGATCTTGATCGGCCAGTACATCGGTCTGGAAGTAAGGATTCAAGATCTTAAGACTGCGGTCGATGTGTGGGTGCAAAGGCCGGCGGATACCACCTCTCTTGCCCTGCTCGTTGCCCATAGCCAAGACCAGGTAGTTTGCTAATGATCTTCGTTTGGTGTCGTCCATTTCCCGTGCACGCTTGTCACTAATCCATGCGTGAGCACCTCTTCGGCCCGAGTATACCCAGAGGATGTGTTGAAAGCCAAAGTCTTCTCGTAGTGCCGTATCCACCACCTTTACCGCCATAGTAATGAATTGCCAGCACTTGTTACAGATTGCTGCACCAGAACAGCACGTTCTGATCGGGTCATAATCTGTCATGTCGATATCGAAGACCAGCTCTTTCATGACTGGTCTGAAAGCACTCGCTTTTCTGAGCTGCTTCCGATCACGTGGGTTGACACTGTACTGTGGACCAATTTCAAAACGCTCTGGAGTCATCTGTACACACTGCTTGCGGAAGAGGTCTGCTGAAGCGAAGGACTGATATCGGATATATGCTCCTCCAGGCAAGACAAACGCAAACTCTCGGTTCTGAAAATCAGGCTGAGGCGTCGGTGAATGATTCAACCATTGGAAGAGTGGCCTGAAGGGAAAGAGTCGTTGGTAGAATTGTCGTAATATGTCAGGTGAGGAGTATTTGGGCTTTGACACTTGTTGCGGTATATCCTGCAAGCTGTCTTCTGGCTTCCTAGGAGCACTGCTGGAATACTCGTCGTCGTCATCGTCGTCGTCGAATATGCTATCCAGGTTGGCAGTGCCTCCATTCGCGGGTAGTTCCTGAGATTCTGCTAGGTCACTGCTTGGCTCTGCTTCTAGAGGTAGCGCTGGTGCATCGGTCATGTGACTGTCTTCCACATTCATCGTTGCTTCTGCCTCTGGCGATGGCGAAGTAGCGTGCGGCATCGTGGTGGCTTGTATGTGCTCATGTTATGCTGTGGTCGGAAGAGGAAGACGCGTAAGGTGGAAGATGGACGCGCCTGCCCCACAAAAAGCTGCACTAGCGTGACGAGGCCTTAGGCCTTCACTCTTACAACTGAACTACACACTTCGAGACCTTATCAATGCTCTGTATCATGTTTTCAGGTGGCTGAAGCACAAACCAAGCGACTGCTGTGGGCAGTATCATCGGCAACATGTCGACAGAAGAATATGTGGACGCAGTGGGTTGGGTGTCCGACGACTCTGAATTTTATGGTCAGGCTTGCATCGTTCCCGACGCTATTGTACCAAGGTATCAATACTGACTGAGAATCAGGCAACGAAACAATCAAGGCGAGGATGGAGAGCATAGTGTCGCCTATCCCGATCAACTTCAATACGCCTCCCAACATTGCTCGAGCTAACAAGAAGTCTCCGGTATCGACTTCTGCTCTAAGCACTCACACTCGCTGGCATCCCTGAGTGTGAAACGTCCTGCAAACGCAGTCGATTTTCTGAAGTCTCGTCCTCAGATCGCTTTGATGCAAGAAGCTCCCACAATCGCAGCCAAGACTGCCGTAAGTGGCCGATCTCGGACACTCGCGGGTCACACCACCACAGATCTCATTGATGTCAGTACCACACACCGTGATCCGTCAGCCTGGCAGCCTCACGAACCCGTTCTCGACTTCCTTCGACGAGCACCAGTCATGAATCAAGCGACTGCAAATCTGGGTCCGTGGCTCTGGGTCCACAGTCCACGACTTCCTAGCCATCATGTACAGCAACAGCAGAAGACAGATACCGCGTCTTTCCAGGATGGCGGTACGCAGCTACTTCGCGCTTTCAAGGACCAGGAGGCCAAGATCGAGACATCGAATCCCAACAAAGCTGTGGGCATAATCACGAGATACTTGCGACCTTATCGGGAGCAGCTCGAAGACGATCTCCTTCAGCTTGCGGTCAGCACTCACACAACATGCGGCAAATGGATGCTCTTCCCTACGATCGACGATGTGGCACGGGTCTGGCGGGTTGTGGCAGAAGCAGCTGCTGCTGGCAAACTGGGACCCACCTGCAAAGTCGCCACCTATGATGAGTTGAGACCACGCGCAGATCATCTCATATGCATTTACACCTACGACTTCACCGATCTTCCAGATGTGCGGCGTGTGCTGGAAACGTTAGTGGGGCTCGATCTGGTCTCGACGTCTGGTCGCCCTATATACTACAAATGCGATGCATACACATATCTTGATCTGGGGTCACAGAACGAATACAAGATCAAAGCTAGTCTATACTCGAGCAAAGATGTACTGAACGGCGAGGTGAAAGCATTGCCAGATGGACCTATCTTACGACTGTTGAAGAGAAATGGTGCCATCGACACATTCATGTCTGGCTAAGGCCCAGTCAATCGCACCAACATGATTATGGTCGAAGACACATATGTTTGTGCTTTTATTGCTAGATACCCAATATAGTCATGCTTCTTGGTCTCACTCGAGACTCCCAACAATCTATATCTGCTCAAGTCTTGTGGAAGTTTGATAGTTCTGATGGTAAGGCCTGCTCTTACCGTCGACATCGAATATGGTGGAGTTCGTTCCTTCCCTGTTTGTGCGGGATCTCCGTGTCTGAACTTGCCTCCACTTTGCACGACTTCACTTCCACCTTCGTGACTCTACTACTCCATGCATCACACCAACACGTAACCTCAAGACGACAGCACAGATCAGCACTCAATTCCACACGATGTCCTCGCTCATGATCGACATCTTCAGCTTCATCTACGGGACCATCACTTTAGCTGTCTTCTGGCACAAAGCAGTAATAAGTCTCTATGGTCGCCCCCAGAAACAAGTCGCAGATCTCTATACCAGTACTCGACTTGGTATGTTGGCAGAGAGGAAACATGATCAAGCTCATACTAATCAAAAGACTTCCTCACAGAACAAAACAGATTCTGGGATATGACCGTCCCATCGCCACACTACAGGGCCCCTCTGCTTCCAGGACTCAGACATGAATTGGTTACTTTGTCCACGGGTTTGAAGATGCATTACATGGAAAGTTTGAGCAACACTAAAACGAGGACTTTGATCGTACTGATCCACGGCTTCCCTGATTCTTGGTGCATCTTTCACCCGTTGCTGAGCTCGGAAAGGCTTGTAGACCTGGAGGCAGACATCGTTGCTATCGATCTACCTGGTTTCGGTGGAAGCGATGATCTACAGAACTACGGTCCTGACGCAATGCTCAATGCCATAACAGAGACAATCCATCTGCTGAAGCAGCGCTATCTGACCGCTGAAGCTACCAAGTGTATCGTTGTGGGTCATGATTGGGGAGGTATTATTGCCTACAGACTTGCGGCTGAGACGATTGGATTAATGGACAGAGCTTGCATGATCAACACTGCTTATGTATGCTCACTAGAAATGAGCATAGTAACGGAGCTTGGATGAGACTGACTGCTGAGCAGGCACCCCTAATGAAGGCCAACGCGAACGCAGTGCTGACACTGACGAAGCCGCATCTTCTAGCATGGCGAAAGGCGCCGTTCACGATTCAACATCTGCTTGTCGCGTGGACTGCTGCGGAACCTCTTCGTGCGCAGTTGCTCAAATCCTGCTATGTAAGTCTCGACGGGCGATTGGTCGCTGGAGAACGATGACTGAACTGCCCAATCAGATCTTCATGCTCAACTTGCCGTTGTGGATGCTAAGACGTAACACCATCACCATCGAATACTTACTCGACTTATGTCACACGCGTGGAAATACCTCCATCACTGCTGTCCCTCCAGTACTCTTCGAGACGAGCAATCCCTCCAATAACCCTCGCCGTGACGCTTTTGCTCAAGCTCGCGCCAGTTCGTTTGGGCCGGGCCATGTGGAGAGTGCAGTCCGAGGCGCAAAGTATGGTCATTCTGTCAAGGTCCGCAGCAGGAAGAGCGATCGTCTTCCAGGAGACTGGCTACAACGGATTCGACTTTATCGAGAAGGACTAGCAGCAGATGACTGGCAGCTAGTGCCTCATCTTCAACAATACGCACTACCGAGAAGCCATAATCGGACGACCTTCAAGTGCCCAGTAAGTGTAATATTTGGCATGCGAGACTTGGCTCTAGATCCACGAATTGTCTTGGACGGTATAGAACGCTATTTTCAATCTTCGACTTTAACACTTCCTGGAGATGCTGGCTCGATGGCTGAAGCTGATCAAAGCCAGGTTGTCGAGCTCAAGGATGCTGGACATTGGCCCATGCTGGATAGCGAGCAGGGCATGGAAGCCATGGTGAGGACCATGTGGTGGATGGTGAGGCCAGAATATGGGTTGGACTCTGCATTCAGTAGCTGGATTGTGACGCAAAAGAATGAGATCAATACCAAGTTGTATGGCTGATATATGGATCCGGAATAACCAATGCGTTCCTGCATTCGCGAGACAGTGAAGGAAAGTGATTGAGACTCGAATCAAATGTCTTCACCAACTCGCCTTCCTAGTCCGAACTCGGCCGACGGGAATCTCAACCGCCTTCCCGCGAGCTTATCGCCCAAAGTCAACTCAACAAACGTGCCTCTTCCGACCACTGATAAGCCTGCATGGAGTTGCTATCGAGTAATCGCCTACAAATACACCTTCTGCCGTCCATACAATGCGAGTCGGTAGCTACACGAGTGTGGTGCAGGCGGGCTCCTCCGATGGCTCTTGGGCAGAGACGAGCGACCAGTTCCTTGTGCCATGAACGCATTATTGTCTACGACACTGGTATGTGGCCTGGTATGTAGCTTGCTTATCGTCTCTCCAATCTTTTATCTTCACATGTAAACGAACCCCGAGCATTCTCTAGGCTGAATACGAGCATCACTCACTCGGTTGCCTGCAGCTCATGCTGTGGCTTTCGACATCCACCACATTGATCCCATCTAGACTCTAGACACTATGGCGCCCTTCGCAACAGGAACAGATACACCACATCCCGTCAATGGCAGTCCCAAGATCGAGGCCAATGCCTCCGACATCACTGTTCTATCTTCTTCACGAGCAGTTGTTGAGGACAGACTCACGGCTGCAACAATTGTCGTTTCAACCATAACAGGCAAGATCACCTCAATCTTCCATTCCGTCCTGCCGGAATCGTCCTTCCCGCCTGGTACACCATACAACGATTACAGCCCACACGTCTTATTACCAGGTCTTGTCGATGCACATGTCCACCTCAACGAGCCGGGCAGGACAGAGTGGGAAGGTTTCTGGACCGGCACGAGGGCAGCGGCCTTTGGTGGAGTCACAACGGTGGTCGATATGCCATTGAATGCTATCCCACCAACAACGACCGTTGCCGGACTGAAAGAGAAGATCGCAGCCGCGCAAGGGAAGTGCTGGGTGGATGTTGGATTTTATGGCGGGATCATACCGGGCAACACAGAAGAGCTGAAGCCACTGGTCAAGGAAGGTGTGAGAGGGTTCAAGGGCTTTCTGATCGATAGTGGGGTCGAGGAGTTCCCGGCTGTGTCCTCGATAGATGTTGCGAAGGCATTCTTAGTTCTTGCCGACGAGCCTACGACCGTCATGTTCCACGCTGAGATGATACCGCCTATATCTGCATCGGTGGGAGACGACGTGCAGTGGTCACTACCACCACTCGAGCCAACTGGTCCATTGGATAGATATCAGACCTTTCTGGACTCTCGACCTGCCTCGTTCGAGACATACGCCATACTACAGATTCTGAGTCTAGCACACCTCGCTCCGAGGCTACCGCTGCACATTGTACACTTGTCTGCCATCGAAGCCATACCAATGCTGCGGGCAGCCAGAGAACTAGGTGTGAAGATCACTGCAGAGACGTGCTTCCACTACTTGAGCTTGGCGGCCGAGCAGATCAAGGAGGGCGATACACGGCATAAGTGCTGCCCGCCCATCCGAGACCAGGCTAACCAGGATGGGTTGTGGGATGAGATGCTGGATGTGAAGGATAGCGTGATCAAGACTGTAGTCTCGGATCATTCTCCATGCACGCCAAATCTCAAGCTTCTGCCAGCTCATGTCCCAGGTGCACAAGAGTCGCCGAAAGCAAGCTGCGCGCCGAGAGCTGGGAAGGGTGACTTCTTTGGCGCATGGGGTGGTATCTCCTCCGTAGGCCTTGGGATCAGTATCCTCTGGACCGAGTCCATGCGACGATCCTTGGATGTTGATGAGACTCTGCTCAATATCTCCCGATGGTGCTGTGTCAATACCGCTAGGCAAGTAGGTCTGGAGGACAAGAAAGGAGCTTTGAAGGTAGGCATGGATGGTGACATAGCGATCTTTGACGACGAGGCTGCATTTGAGGTTCAGAGCAGTACGATGCTGTTCAGGAACAAGTGCTCGCCGTATCAAGGCAAGACACTGCGAGGTGTTGTGCGAGAGACATGGTTGCGAGGACGAAGAGTACATTCCAGAGTTGGCGGGTTCGTCGAGAAGGGTGGACCCAGCGGTCACTTATTGCTCGAGCCTCGGGTAAAGGCGTAGATGTATTGCACAAAGAAGAAGATCTCGCGACATTATTGTCCAGGTCTCGAGGTATTTCCAAACCATATCTTTGAGGCTAAAAGCCACGTGAGAAAGTGAGAATCACTTCGGCTTCATTGCTCGGCCCGTATCATCGGTGCGGCTGCCGACGACGTCTCGACTGCCGTGTAACAACAGGCGCAGAGCCTTGCAGCAGTTTGCATCTGCAAGCTTATCTTGAGCATTGCATACAATTTCATCGACCAGTAGTTTCGTGTCCGTGGGCCACGCTGCTCAAAGCATACTTATCAGAAGGATTTGCTCGAAAGCAGGACGACGTGTCAAGACACACACCGCTACGATGGCGTGCCGGGCGGCGCGACCTCTGTGCTCACCTCGTCCCATCCTGATCTTGCGGAAGCACTCTATGCTCAAGATTGGCAGTCTACGATCATAGAATATTCACTACCCTACACCATTGCGACTCATATTGGAAGTAAAACAACTGGTTGCAGATGTGTGACGTTCCGTCTTCCTTCCAAAAACTGTTCTAGCGTGCCTTCGCATCTGGTAACCGAAGAGGTGTTCCACCCTAGCGAGTCGCAACCCTAGACGTCGATCCACCAACACCTTCAATTTCCACGACACAGCAGACTTTACCCTGACCTCACCTTGCTGCACGACCCCCCCCCCCGGCACCTGAAAGCCGGGACAATTCGGAGTTTGTGCTACCGCCTTCCCATCTACGAACCTTCGTAAAGAACCGCCGCTCGCCAGCACAACAATCTCTGGAGTGCGTGGCAACTCAATACAGCGCTGTGCAACAGCACATCCCGGCCCCAATAGAGCTCAATATGCAATGGCAATATCTCAAGCACCAGTCCCGGAACGCATCAGGCCATGCCGAGAAGGGCGTGACAAGACCCGTCAATCACGGCCGTACGGTAAGTCCTCCCCATGTTTCCAACCGACCCTACGATCCCGCGATACCGGCACCCTCCTTGCAATCCTGCGTGCCATGCAAACCTGCCGTGAATCTCACTATCACCGACAACTTCCTTCCTGAGGAAACTCACGCACGTGTACCGGCCTTCCTGACATCCTCTGCGTTCCTGACATGTCTGACGAATCAGATCTTGACTCGCTACGGCGGCAAAATACACGCGTGAAAGGATGCTTGGGTGTGATCGCACCCATGGCTCACCGCTCCCCATCTATCATGTCTCTTGGTCTCGCCCGCCGTTGCGCCTAACGCGCCAAAGCACACATTTGTTTTTGTGAACGTCCTTCCTAGAGAGAAGTGTCTAACCGCAGCTATGGATGTAGCACCTCCGTATAACCGGGCTGAGAAGCACGACTCTACCACCACGGCAGCTGCAGCGACAGACGGAAAGAAGCCGCAGTCGTTTGTTGGACGACCGCCAATGGCTTCCATTGAGGATGATGACGAGAGGTTGTTGGCTCGGATAGGATACAAGCAGGTGTGTTCGATCTCTACCACTACTTACTACAACATCTGACGCACCAGCAGGAATTACGAAGAGAGTTCACCAAATGGTCGACAGTTTCCTATGCCATCTCCATCCTTGGCGTTCTCGGGTCCCAACCAGCGACTTATGGAGTACCTATCAGTGTCGGTGGTCCAGCTACTGCAGTATGGGCGTGGTTTGTGGGCTCAATCATGGCGATGGTGATCGCCAGCTGTGTCGCGGAGCTGGTCTCTGCATATCCTACAGCAGGAGGCATGTACTTCGTGACAAAGCACGTAGTACCTGAGAAGCATGTGGCGATATGGGCATGGATCATCGGCTGGTGCAACTTCTTGGGTCAGGCTACTGGCGTTGCATCACTGGCGTACACCATCGGACAAATGATTTTGGCCGGTGCGAGTATGAACTCTGGGCTTGAGGATGGCACGTATGCCTACTCACCGACAGCAGCTCAGACAGTCCTGGTGGCCATCCTGGTGCTGTTCATCTTTGGCGCCATATGCTCGCTGACGACACGAGCGCTGCATCGGATCGTGCTGTGGTTTGCGCCAATCAACATCTTGGCCACTATCGCCATCTGCATCGCACTGCTTGTCCTCACACCCGACAAGCGAAGTGCCAAGTTCGTCTTCACTGATATCGAGGACTATTCGGGTTGGGGCAGCCGTGGCTTCTCATTCTTGCTTGGTTTCCTGAACGTGGCATGGGTCATGACTGACTATGACGGTGAGCTGTCGTGTACTCAAACACAGCAGAGGCGATGTGGCTAACGTGTAACAGGCACCACGCATATGTCTGAAGAGACACATGATGCAGCCGTACGTGGTCCTTTGGCGATCCGTCTAGCCGTTCTCGTGTCTGGAGTACTCGGATGGTTGCTCAACATCACTTTCACGTTCTGTCTGACACCGACGTACATGGACGACATTGTACACTCACCGACTGGTCTCCCTGTCGCCCAGATCTTCCTCAATGCTGGCGGTAGAGCAGGAGGCACCGCCATGTTATTCTTTGTTATCCTCGTACAGTTCTTCACTGGAGCATCCGCACTTCTGGCTAACGCTCGAATGACATATGCTTTTGCCCGCGATGAAGCCTTGCCATTCTCTCGTTTCTGGAGCAAGGTCAATACTACCACGGGCACTCCTGTAAATGCCGTTTGGCTCGTGGTGTTCTTCTGCTGCTGTCTGAACCTGATCGGTATCGGCTCAACGGAGACTATCACAGCCATCTTCAACCTTTGTGCGCCATGCCTCGATCTGAGCTACATTGCCGTTCTGTTTGCGCACCAGGTCTACGCGGACAAAGTACAGTTCATTGAAGGTCCTTTCACGCTCGGTAAATGGAGCAAGCCTTTGAACTACCTTGCGATCAGCTGGGTGCTATTCATCAGCGTGGTGTTGTTCTTCCCAACCGCGAAGCCTGTCACAGCGACGAACATGAACTACGCGATTGTTGTCGCAGCCTTCGTGGGACTGTTTTCGCTCGGATGGTGGTGGGCTGGAGCCAGACACAAATATACTGGTCCGAGGACACAGGATCTTATGCACATTGTTGGTGAATCCGAACCTGATGAGTATGCTTGAACAACTCTTTTATGGATCATCTCGAAGATCACAAATCTACGATCATGCCACGAACCACCGCGCGGACGGCCTCGCGACTTTACCACACCGACACACTCTTCCAGCAATAATGCTTGCGTTGCCAGTACAGGTATGCGGAACGGCTCATTTTGCTCACCCTGAGGACTCGGGAACGGCGCTTGATATCGCCTGCTTGCGCGAGCTGCCGTGTGTTACGGACGTTAGATGACGACGGCAAGATGCTCGATACAACCAAGCATCCCAAGCGCCACTGTGGTGCTCGTGACGAGGCGCTATCTCGGCGATTTAGCGGAAAATATCCGGCTTGGTCGTAGTATGGTGCTAGAGCATTGGCAATCAACCAGATCGATACACTTTGAACCTTTACATAAATATCGCACAATCGCACGTAGATGTATAGAGCTAGATTGTACAGTGTACATGATAGTCAATCCCCATGACGGCTCAAATTGCTACCGAGCTTTCTACACTCTCGCAACCGCTTCCTGTCGCAAAATCATTCAGCACAAGACGTCCTTCGACCGTTCGCTCAAGCTTACAGGATCCTATAAGAGACGATGAGGCCACTCTACATCCTCTAGAGCGCACGATTACTGTGACTTCGAACAGTGAGACCGCTGTTATCATTACCAGCGTCACGCTCGTCACAGCCATCTCTACCCTGCTCAATGGCCTCACTACCGTCGCTCTTCCAACCATGGCACGCGAGCTCAGCATCCCCGACTCTCTGCAACTGTGGCCCACCAGTATGCAAGCTCTCACAACCGGCTGCACGCTTCTCCTCTCCGGCACTATCGCCGATGCACTGGGATCACGCTTCATGTACCTCGTTGGCACCGTCCTCCAAGCCGGCACAATCCTTGGCTGTGGTCTGAGTAAAACTGCTACCCAACTCATCATCTTCCGTGGCTTAAGCGGTATCGCAGTGAGTCTCTGCCTCCCCAGCGCCGTGAGCATTATCACCGGGTCATTCGTCGGCAAACGCCGGGATATGGCTTTCGCTTCTATGGGTGGTGGACAGCCGGTAGGGTTTAGTGTCGGACTTGCACTGGGTGGTATCCTCACCGATACTATAGGGTGGCGGTGGGGTTTCTACCTTGCGGCTATTTTGGACGCGGTCGTCTTCGCTATTGCCCTGTGGGGTTTGCCGAAGGAGATTGATGAGCGTGGTGGTGGTGGGGAGGAAGGCGGGCCAGCAAGCTCGGGCTGGAGAGAGAAGTTGGGGAGGTTGAAGACGGAGATTGACTGGGTTGGGGCGGTGATTGCGAGTTCGAGTTTGGCTATGTTGAGTTATGCTTTTGCGGCAATTACTGGGAGTACGGCGGACATCCGACAGCCGGCTACGCTGGCATTGCTCATTACGGCTATCGTTCTAGTACCTGTCTTTGTACTCTGGGTTGGGCGGCAAGAACGACTGGGCAAACCGGCTATCATTCCGAATAGTCTCTGGCGAAACAAGATCTTCACTACGATCTGTTTGGCTGTCTTCTTGACGTGGGGATCATTCAACGCACTCGAGACTATGTTGACCTTCTACTTTCAGCGAGTACAGGGCTTGAGCGCTATTCAAAGCTCCATACGCTTTATTCCGGCGCCTGTCTCGGGAGCACTCAGTAACATCGCAATGGGCTTACTTGTACATCGCGTGAAAGCGAACTATCTCGCGCTTGGTGGATGCATATTGAGCATCGTGGCCCCGTTAGCGATGGCTTTTTCCAAGCCACATAGCAACTATTGGGCGAGTGGTAAGTACGATGGGCATGGTCACTTTAGTTCTCAGGCTGACAACCGTGAACAACAGCCTTCCTCGCCAATGTCTTCAACCCCGTCGGCGCCGACAGTCTATTTACTATATCGAACCTGCTCATCACGTCAGTCTTTCCGGCCAAGACACAAGCACTTGCCGGTGGCGTCTTCAACACCATATCTCAGGTTGGCAAAGCCGTGGGTTTGGCTTTGGTGGCGGTGATTGCCTCGAGCGTCACGACTAACTCCGACTATGTCCTCAAGGACTCTCCAGATGCTCTGATGGAGGGATATAGAGCTACATTCTGGTTCGGCTTTGCCAGTGTGGTTGCGACCGTGATGTTGTCTGCGTGGGGTTTGAGGAGGATCGGCAAGGTCGGCCATAAGAGGGACTGATAGCCATTTATATGTGTACAACGGGAGCCATGTCTCTGCGTAGTATTGACATGATTATACATATCCACAACGCTCTTGATGGCCTTGCCGTCGCCGCTCTCACGTGTCATTTCGTTGTTGCCAAGCCATTGTTGTTTGTGATTGGCTATCACATTCGGACCCTTGGAGTCTTGGAGCTAGCTGTACACATGAACAGTATTTGGAGTGAGCCAAACCATACGACCCAGTATACTACAGCGCAAACGTATACGTTGCTTGACGACTAGCCGACAGCAGCACAAAATAGCGTTTGGCACCCTACCTGGACTTGTAAATCGCATGGCGGGCGGCGACAATTGAACAATTTTACCTTCACCATCCTCCCACCTTCCGGCCATTGTGCATAGTGGGGCTTGCAATACGACTACGAAGCTCTCAAGGCCATAACGGACACATTCACAGTCATGGCTGCTCCATATCAAGACGGTGCGCCAAATGCAGAGGATGGACATGGGCAGGACGGGTCATATGAGCAACAGCAGGCGCAACAAGCAGCTGGAGCGCCAGCAGGAGCCAAGAAGAAGCGTGCATATGCTGGCCAGGCCTATGAATTCGGTGCTGGCGGCAATGCTCAGTTGGGTGGGCAGCAAGCGGCAGGTGGACAATACCCAGGCTTTCCTGCTCCTGCCGCCGCTGGGTATGGCTACCCAGCTCAGCAACAGCCTGCCCAGCCATCGTATGGTATGCCACAACAACCTGCATATGGCGATCCCAACGCACAGCAGCAGCAGCCAGCTCAGCCAGGGTATGGTGCTCAGCCTCAGTACGGTGCCCCGCAACAGCAAGGGGGGTATGAGCCACAACAGCCGGCCTTCTCAGCACAAGGTGCTGCAAACATGCTCCAACAAGGTGTGGCGGGCGTGACCCAAGGATTCGCACAGATGGGCATGGGTGGCGGCGCCACTCCTCAACCACAGCCAGCACAGCCACAATCGGCAGTGAGATTGAACCCTCTCATGCCTGTGGATGTCAGCCAGAATGGACAGCCTTTTCATGTCAGCGATTTGGATCAGCCACCGCCTCCTATCATTCTTCCTCCAAATGTGAGTATGTTCGGACTGTTTCGGAACTTGACTAACATTGAATAGTCATCTGTAACACCCTCACCTCACGCCAATTGCGGTCCGAAATATGTCCGTTCGACACTTAATGCCATGCCTACGACTTCGTCATTATTAAAGAAAAGCAAATTGCCATTCGCCCTGATCATTCAGCCATATGCCACACTCCATGATGCCGAGGACGATGTCCCAGTGCAATACGACCAAGTTATCGCTCGATGCCGGAGATGCAGAACGTATATCAACCCTTTTGCGAGCTTCCTAGACCACAGCCACAGATGGCGATGCAACATGTGTAACTTGACCAACGATGTGCCGCAAAGCTTCGACTGGGACAGCGTCAAGCAACAGACCGTGGACCGATGGCAGCGACCGGAGCTCAACTATGCCGTGAGCGAGTTTGTGGCACCTCAAGAATACATGGTTCGAGCACCTCAACCACTCATCTACCTTTTCCTGTTCGATGTGAGCTATGCTGGTGTCACTTCTGGTCTTCTTGCGACTGCAGCGAGATGCATACTGGAGAGCTTGGACAGGATACCCAACACTGATCGACGGACACGACTTGGATTCATGGCTGTGGACAGTAGTCTACATTACTTTCAGATCCCGCACGACAACACCGAAAGTGGCAACGAAGCCAGAATGCTTGTCATCTCGGACCTAGACGAGCCATTCCTGCCTACGCCAGAGGATCTGCTAGTCAACCTGACCGAGTGCCGAGCCAATATCGAGACGTTCTTGGGCAAGCTACAAGGCATGTTCGCCAACACCACGAACCCTTCTTCAGCCATGGGATCTGCTCTTCGTGCTGGCCACAAGCTCATATCGCATGTTGGAGGCAAGATCACTGTTCTTTCAGCGAGTTTGCCGAACACTGGATACGGCAAGCTTGAACCACGAGAGGACAAGAAGCTTCTTGGCACGTCGAAGGAGAGCAGTCTGCTGCAGACGGCAAACGCTTTCTACAAGTCGTTTGCGGTCGAGTGCAGCAAGACGCAGGTCAGCATCGACATGTTCCTGTTTAGTGCCCAGTACCAAGACGTGGCCAGCTTGAGCAATTTGCCACGATACACTGGTGGTCAGACCTACTTCTACCCCGCCTGGAACGCGGCCAGGACGGAGGATGCTGTCAAGTTTGCGACAGAGTTCAGTGACTACCTCAGCTCGGAAATCGGTCTGGAGGCTGTCTTGCGGGTGCGTACTACGACTGGCCTTCGACCTTCAGCTTTCTATGGAAACTTCTTCAACCGCAGCTCCGATCTTTGCGCTTTCCCGGCTATGCCTCGTGATCAGGCATATGTGGTCGAAATCGCCATCGATGAATCTATCACCAAGGCCTTTGCATGCTTGCAAGTTGGTGTCCTACACACGACATGCAATGGTGAACGCAGGATTCGTGTCTTGACTCTGTCAATCCCGACTACGCAGAATATCGCAGAAGTGTATGCCAGTGCGGATCAGCAAGCTATCACTGCATACTTCGCACACAAGGCTGTCGAGCGTGCCTTGAGCAGTGGACTGGATGCTGCTCGTGACGCTGTGCAGGCCAAGGTGGTGGAGCTCATGCAGACGTACAAGAAGGAGCTTGGTGGTGGCAATATGGGCGGTGGGGGGCTGCAGTTCCCTGCCAATCTGAGAGGGTTGCCGATGTTGTTCTTGGGTCTGATGAAGAACGTAAGTCTGATTGTCACCATTCGAACTCGCGCTATGTGTCCGTGGCTAACTATGTCCTGCAGCTCGGTCTACGAAAATCCGCCCAAATCCCAACAGATCTCCGCTCAGCCGCGCTCTGCCTCCTCTCGACCCTTCCACTCCCGCTATTAATGCAATACATCTACCCTCGCCTCTACAGCCTACACGACATGCCCGACGATGCTGGCCTCCCCCACGCCGACACCGGCGCCATCGTTATGCCGCCAGCTCTCAATCTCGTCAGCCAAAATATCGTTCCCTATGGCTTGTATCTCCTAGACGACGGCCAAACGCAATTCCTTTGGCTCGGTCGCGACGCCGTACCCCAACTCATCGCCGATGTCTTCGGCACCGAAGACAAGAATGCTCTCAAGCAGGGCAAGACGTCCTTGCCGATTATTGAGTCGGAGATGAATGAGCGGGTCAGAGCGGTGGTGGAGAAGAGTGCGGATCATAAAGGTAAGGGGTGTGGGTCGATTGTCCGTCCGCCGCTGTACTTGGTTAGGGAGGATGGGGAGCCGAGTCTGAGGTTGTGGGCGCAGACGTTGCTGGTGGAGGATCGGGCGGATGGAGGTGTCAGTGGGGGCCAGTTTTTGGGAACCCTTAGGGAGAAGGTGCTGAGTTGAGAGATGCTTCACCGTCAGCCATGTGAGGTGGAGCGTATGGGCGTCCTAAAGTAGACGTAGAGTTGATTATGCATTGCGGTAAGCGCAGGTCTCATCCAGTCCACTCATCAATCTGTATCAGGTGGAGGTCCACCTCGTCGGGATCGCAGCAAGGACCTCTGCACAGCTTCAGAAATTGCGGTTCGATAGTATTAGGATGGGTTACCTGCGATTGTCTACATGAGCTGCAATTAGAAGCTCGAAGCTACGGAGCCCACTGCATACTCACACCACTACGGCTGCTGGCATCATCAACTTTTGCCGCCAAGCAATCGCATCATGCTCCGCTGGTCAGCCTGTGCCATAGCATGTCTAGTGAATGTTCGGCCCTGTCTTTACAATGCTGGACACGACGAGGCCTTGCCGAACTTCTGGAAAGCTGATCTCATTGCAGAGTCATGACAAGTCGGCGGAGTTCCATCATACTGGCCTGGCACAGGAAGCCGGTTCCAATGAGTCAGTCGTCGTCCAAATCAAGCTGGGCCAGCCCAAGGAAGCCAGAGGTAACGTGAGATCATATTCGTGAAATCATATTAATCAGTAAGATAGCAGGAGAGAACGGCAAATGTGTTACAAAAAGGACGATAGAGCGTTAAGTAGACCGTCGTAAAGTGTGTGAGGCCCGTACATTGTCATCGTGGCTCGTCCATACCCTGATATTCACCATTCCAGCTCCCCACTACCTTACCCAAAGCCTAACCCTAAGCACATATCCCTTCCAAAAACAAGCCAACACGATACCAGTGTCTCGCGCCACGTAGAAACGACGAATGTCCGTAAATACCCTCACATCTCTCATAGCTCATCATCTAACATATGTCCTACTCGTCCTCTGATAAACCTCACCATGACCAACTCTTGGAGCCGAACTCCTGTATTCCGTCCTCCTGTAATCGCCCGAGCCTCTCGACACCCTCTCAACACGTCTGTACGACGAAGTCGATGCTCGTGGCGCCGGACCACCGTGGTAGTTGGAGACGGGTCGAGGAGCGTAGTATGGGTCCTCTCGAATCACTGTCGATCTCTTCTCTTTTGGGGGCTTGGTGACGAGACACATGGTTGCGATCACGGGCCTGCTTGTGGTGGAGTCGCGGACGTCTTGGTCGATACAGTGTTTGGTGAGGCGTGCTGAGTGGTAAGGGTACTTTGTCAAATGGACGACCGACGACGAGGACCGCTTCGTCCGAGAAGTGAAATGATAAATAATGCTGTTGATGAGATGGGAGGAGTACGAACTTTACTACACGGCGCCTACAAACCATAGAACATACTGACGTGGGCTGAGCACTGCCTTCGTCCTCGGCGGGACTAATCGAGCTCGACAAGCGTGACAGCTGCGAACTCGTCCCAGCCCACTATCCTAGTTCGACCAACTCTGGGCTGAGATCTTGCGTCACTGCCAAGATATACCATCACGTGGAAGCATGTGATGACCCTTCACCAGATAATGGATAAACAAATGAACATACATGCTACATGCAAACGTTGACAATCATACAACAAACTCCCATAAATCATTTCCATGGCCTACCACTAAAACGCCGTGCTCCCGGGGGCTGTACTGACCAGACTCAACCTGCTACTCCTCCTCGGATCATCAATCTCCATGGCACCACTCATGACCCTTACCACCTTCTTCCCTCTTCCATTCTCGTTGTGGACTAACACCTGTGCTGGACACACCACGATCTCCTCCTCACCCTCACCATTCTCATCGCCCTTCTTCACCACAAGTGGGAAGAGCACGAGTTTTACTACTCCTCGTTCAGATTCCAGTTCCTCGTTCGAACTGAACATGCCTGAGCGTTCATTCATGAGCGATGCGTTGAAGTGGACTTTTCGCACCAGGTCGCCGTTTGTGTCGTACTCCGGCTGAAGTGGTGGCAGCATGATGTATCCGGCACGCTGCGTGCGCATCTCAATGGCGAGATCAGCTGCCACACCCATAACCTTGAGCAGAGAAATCCGTAGTTGCTGCTCAGCGTTCGATGGTGGTGGCAAGAGTGCACATAACAATGCGAACACCTCCTGAGCCACCGCCTCGGTATCGAGCGCACATTGTCGGGCGAAATCTGGTCGCTTGGACAGAAGCGTGAATGTGGTAGCACGCCATTGGGCGACCGCACGAGGCGGCCCAACTTCTGCCAAGATCTTCTCGAGTGCTTTGAGCTTCTGTCGCTGCTCACGATCCATGCCGAAGAGATAGCGGGTGAAGATGTACTCCCACACCATGGTCATAACCACGGACATGAACACATCGCGTCTGCGGATACGATCGCCTAGTAGCTTGTCGGCATCCGACCCGTCGAGGATAGCATTGTCCAGACGCGCTTCGATCTTGTCATCGCGAAGCTCTGTAGATAAACGACATACTCTGTTGTCAGATAGCTTTGAGAAGCGTAAGACCCATTGTTGAACATGCTGGCAAAGCTTCTGACATGCACCATCGAAATAGTCCTCGTCACGCACAGTCAAAAAGTCCCTTGACTTCGAAGCCTGGATCTGTACCTGCAGCGCTCGTATCTGTTCAGTAGCGATGTCGAGCTCTTCTCGTAGACGAAGGATCTCGGCATTCTTTTCAGCCAAAGCAGTGGTTACCTGCACTTCGACGGCGTCTCGTAATCCTTCATTTGCACGACTGTGAGTCTCTCGCGTCTGATCAAGCTCCCGATTCGTACTTTGCCATTGTTCATGAGCATGAGCGTGCTCGGCTTGAAGTGTTGCATAGCGACCATTCGTGTCATCAACCAGATTCCTGTTAGCTTCTGTGAGTTCGCCGTTGATGTCGTTGAGACGCTCGATCTCTTCGTGCAACGGACCAAGCATGGTCTGAATACGGTTGATCTCGACCTCTCGTTCTTGGAGCTGAAGATCACGTGCCTCGAGTGCCTCTGCCAAGGATCCGGTATCGCCACTCTGTTCGTAGGCGTTGCGGGCATCGCTCAGCGCTCGGTTCTCGGCTTCTAGTTGGCCTAGCTTGGACTCCAGGTCAACAATATGCATGCTCTGCCGCTTGCGCACGCTCGGCGGTCGCGTGGGCGAGCTTTGCAGCCCGCGCGCGTCGCCATATCCTTGCTGTAACAACATGTCAGTATCGCCAACATGACTGAGTACTTGGCCACTTACGAAAACATCAGACATCACTGCAGCGCCTGCAGCGCCGGCGACGATCAGATCCTCATCATTTGATGGTGGTGTTGGTGGTGCTTCAAATGGGATTGTTTTGGGTGTCGACGCTCTAGCGCCAACGGCCGAACCCGATTCGCTGCGGCGAGACGCGGCCCGAAGGTCACCTGACTGACTTCGATCGATGCGTCTGAGGGTTGGTGTGAGGCTTCTGTTGCTGTTGCGGGAGAACGATCTCTGATCTGCAGGCGATCGATAGTGATGCGCAACGCTCGTACTTGACCGATTGCTGAGTACGCTGGGAGACCTTGCGCCAGATATCATCGGCTTCGGTGTATCGCGCTGAAGTGATCGATCAATGTTCACCGTGTCCCTATCCTCGTCAACAGCTGGCCACGAGAGTCGATTGATGAGCTCATCGGTTGACAAGGGACTGCTTGCATGGCGCAGGTTGGTTGCAGGGATGATCACCGAGGGCCGTCCTGCAGACGAGAACGACTCTCTTGAGGTTCGAATGGCTTGTGGTGTCTCACTTCGTCGCCTAGCTTTAATGACGGCTGGCCCTCCCACGTCGGTGTCCGCTTTACTGCGTTTCGTAGCGCCAGACTCTTCTTCGATGACTTGAAGTGGCGTCCGTGGGCTCAGAGGGCCAAGGTTTCGATGATAAGATTCGTGTTGCTCGTCGTGATCCTGCGAGTGGCTTTCCTGCCGAGGGGTTGATGCATCGTCATGCGTCGAGTCGCCAACAAGGGCATCATAGGCTTGTGAGCGTGCAGAAGTGTGGTTCTCGAACGGATCTGTGGTATCGCGTAACTGTGCTGGAGGAGACGTGAAAAGGTATGATGCTCTATTCTTCGTCGTAGACTCAAGTGGCGTGGCGGCTGGCTCTTTGCTCGATGTGCGCGGCGCCGTCAATGCGTCACGGGTTGAGCTTCCTCTCTTTGCGACCTCAAGTGGCCACGCTGGACTGCTTGGAGTATCGATATGCAATGGTTCTGCTGAGCGTCGACTTCGAAGGCTGCTATGAGATTGAATTGTATGCAGCTCAGGAGCGACTGGGCCTGCACTATCATGGTGGTGGCGCTCTACAACAGGACTGTCGATACTTTGATAACCGCTATCTCTGACCATGTTTCGAGGTTGCTGGCTATCAGAAGCATTTGCGAGTGATGTCTTGTCCTTATCTAGAGCATCAAAAGACCACTCCTGTAAGCTTGGCATCTCGGTGGCTCCGCGTGCTTGAGGTTGAAAGTCCGCTAAACGGTCTAGACTATTGAGCGCATGTGGCATCTTTGTCGTGTCATGGAACTCTCGAGCCGCACGATGCGATGCTCCTACGATGGGATCCTGGCTGGCAGGTCCAGCGTGCCTAGCTGAAAAGGCGTGATCGTCGTCAATTGGCGTGTGCTCACGGCTGTCTTCGATACTGGTAGAACCCGTTGAAGGCTCGGCTACCTGCTGTCGTTTCTTGTTCTTCCTCCTCTCCTTCTTCTTGAAAGCACTATAGGCCTTGTCCATCTCGTCAACATCCATCTCTTGCTTGTTATCCACAGGGAAATATTCTGCTGGGTCGCTTGCTGCTATGCTTCGATTTCCTGCTGTTCCGTGTGATGGTATCGTCTCTGCGTCGTCCGAGAGAGCCTCGCGAGTTAACTCAGCAGCTTCATATGTGCCGATATTGGTCGACGGTAGGATTTGCGCATGGTCTTCAACGTGACCAATGTCGCCGTGAGCGGCCTGTGCAGGCAATTTGTCCACAGTCGTGCGGTCTTTGGAGATAAAGGCACCAGTGCTGGTGGCGTCTAGCTCGCGGGATTCAGATGACTCTGCGATTGGGGTTTGTTTCTTACCCTTCTTCTTACGGCGTGAGACAGCGAAAGACAGGTCCGCACCGTCATCGTCGGGTGCCGTATCGGACGACTTGAATTCATTCGATGCCAAAGCTCGTTCTATGGCGGAAGAGTCGAATCCAGATTGTTGCATGGTGAGCGCCAGATCAGTATCGAAAGCGTCGACTGCAGCGTCATTTGAAAGCATGCCGGAAGACGGAATTGGATCTCGCTTGTCTAGTTCTTGCACGGTGGGCTCGGCCACAGATTGCGAATCATCGATTCGTTTTCCGTTCTTGCCCTTCTTCTTGCGCTTGGTCGTAAAGGCCGTAAATTCTTCTTCCGGGTTGGCCTCTGCCATCGTAGCAGGCGGCGAGGCTCGTCTGTGATACGCTGGATCGTTCACTACCAAGTCAGGATTGAATCCAGCATCAGCTAGGCCGGCAGCCAGGGTTGCGGCAAAGTCAATGTCGTTGCTGGCGGCAAGGTTACAGGACTTGTCATCCACTACTTCCCGTGTGGTGTGCGATAATAGCTCGTCATGTTCAGATGCCCGTCGATCTACTAGCCCGTCCAGATCTTCATGATGGTTGTCTCTCGTAGACCGAGATACATTGGACATGACAACGTCTTGCGGGATCCTAGTCTGTGGCTCAGCATACTCATGACGAGCTGCTTCGGGAGGTATTCTCTTGTCGTCAATGCTGGTGTCAGTGGGCGCCTCGTTCCAGTTCATGCGTGCATCGTATGTACTACCAGCGGGGACGTTGTCAAGAACGCCGGTAACTTCAGGCATATACATCGTGTTCTTCTTCTTGTTTCGTCGATCCTTCTTAGAAACCTTGATGGCCAAATCTGCATCGGCTTGTATTTCTTCAGCGTTATCTGCAGGACCTTCTCTGGTATTGGTCATTCCAACGTCATGCGTACCTTCCCGAGCCCCAGCAGGAGTGTCATCAGGTAACGTTGCAGCGGAGAAGGTATCGACGGCGTTGTGCATAGCGTTCTCGGCGATCGGATCAGTACGTGCGATGCCTTCGTCCTCAACCGGTGGAGCTGGAGCTTCATCTGACAGCCACAAGTCGTTGCTGATATTCTTTCCTTTACGTTTGTCTTTGACCGACTTCTTGGCTTCCGGCGCAAGCCATGTCTCGGTCGTTGGCTTCGGGTCGTCACGACGGTCGTTCGACGCAAACGTCGACTCAAGGTCGGTAGCCAGGTCACAGGGCGGAGAAATCTCTTGCGATGCCTCGTCGATCGTTGGTCGTGGAAGCGGGACATCTTCAGGTCTATAGGACTCATCCTCAATCTTGACATCGTCGGCTTGCCCTGCTTTCGCCCTGGCCTTCTTCTTGTCCTTCTTGGAACGCTTGATGGCAAAGGTAGGCCACTCTTTGGCAACAGCCGAGTCTTGCTCGATCTCAGGGGCTTTCTCCTGTGAGTTGTACATGGCGTCATCAGTTGGTGGTGTTGCTTCTTCGATAGCAAGGCGTGAAGGCTCGGCAGTAAGACGCTGGTCGTCGTGCTGTTCAACGCTTGAGACCGGGATGTACTCATCCCGCGACGCTGGCATCGAAGTTGGCTCACTTGAAGTATCGTTGATCTCTGGGAATGAAAAGCGGACTTTCTTGGCATTGCGCTTCTCCTTCTTGGACTTCTTGGAGAGTACATTGGGCGCTTCTCCTTCGCCGACAATCTCCCCTGGAGTCGGAGCAGGAAGGTCCCGTGCTAGGGCTTGCTCAAGCAACTCTTCCTCGATAGAAGCTGGAGGTACTCTTCGTGAGGCGAGCGGTACGTAATCATCATTCCTGTCCAGGAGTATGTGATTCGTCACTGGAAGCACAGCTTCCTCGCTCTCGACCTGGGGCTCGGTGTCCATATACTCAAACGCAGCCCCTTTGCGCTTCTTAGCCTTCTTCTTGTCCTTCTTCGAGAACTTTGCAGTGGATTCGGGCACGGCCTCTTCTTCATCGTCTGCGAGTGAAGTACCAAGCACAGCTGCACTAGTGACAGCGGCTGCTCCTATGATCGCTTTGGACATGCGAGCACCTAAGCCAGACTCCGCTTGTTCGGGATTTGTGGGCTCCACTTCTGCATAGCTGGCTTTGGCTCTCTCCTGATTACTCTCGACTGGGGTCGTTCCTTCGCTAGACTGAAGTTGTACGTTGCGCGGCGCCCTGTCATCCTGTTCTGTCAACGTATCACCCGTATGTGTACTGGTCGAGAATCTTCTGGTTAACGAGCCTTGCTCCGAATCTGTGATCTGACCATCACGAGGGATCGAGGTCGATTGCTCATTGTGTACGTCGTTGCTGCCGACTTGATTTCCATGCTCTCCACATCGTTCCGGTGGCATGCCATCATGATCGTAGCGAAGCGTGGAACCTTGATGTGGTTCCGGCACGGTCTCCAAATCGAAGACCTTGTCTGCGTAGAGCGGTGACTCAGGCAATGGCGGCAAGCCAAATACACCATCAGCGGCTTGCTCTTCTTCTCTGTACATGGTGTGTTTAGCCATGGAGGCTTCATCTGAGTCAGGTCGTTGTGCGATACCGGTGCTAGGTAGTGCAAACTCTGGATCTTGAGACTCTGTCGCAGCTAATGCCGCTCTCGAATTACCTTGGTCGTTGAACTCAGGTTGAAGCAATTGTCGACTTTTCTTGGCCTTACCCTTCGTCTTCTTACTTGTCGAGAACCCAGCCCATGACGAGTCATCTTCAGGAACTGGTGTAGCGATATCGAAAGATGGATCCAATGCAAACTCTCTTTCTTCGTCTGTAGTAGGCGTAGCCGTAGGTTCTAGCTTAAAAACAGTCTTACCCTTGCTGTTCTTGCCTTTTTTGAGGTTCTTTCCAACGACCTGACTCGGCCACTCGTTGCTCATATCTTCAATTTGGCTTGGCGGGCCGTGCTCTTCCATCGAAAAGCCCCTGCGGCTGGCGTCTGCATCCCAGTCGTGCACAACCTTAGGTTCCTCCAATGATGTTGCCTGCGATCTAGCATCTTCATAGTCGATCGGGCCAGATTCTGGAAATGCTTGCTCGACTGCCAGCTCATCGGCTTCATGCACCGATACAGGTGGTAGGGGTATGTTGTGTTCCGCATGTAAAGTGTCGTCGTGCTGCAAGGCGTGAGACTCCCACGAAATGCTGCGCTGCGCCTTCGCACCAGGGATTCCTGATGGAGATGGCAAAGATTCGTTATTTCCTGACATGGCAGCTTCGGAGGGGACTCTTTGAGGGGCAGCATCTTCCATATCATACTTGTCCGTGTACATTTTGCCACCACGTGCGGCGCTGAAGGTGTCTCCGGCGTCTTGGTTGAAAGCACGCTTTGTACCGAGCGTGATCTGGTCAATGCTTTCTGAGATCGCGGTTTTACTTCGATCGACAGTCTGTGGTTCCTCTTCATCTTCAAAGCCGATTTGCTTCGCCTTCTTTCCCTTCTTGCCTTTCTTGCTGTGCTTGGTCGGCTCCCACAAGTCATCTGCTGCAGACCGTTCTGGCAGGTCTTGCGGCGTGAGGTTGTCGATCACGAATTTAGATTGATCGGGAACTATCGGCGATGCCGGAGCTGGAATGAATTGGGGCTCGGTGTCACGATCATCTCGAGGTGTTGCAAACGAGCTGGATTTGTTGGCTGGTGTGTTGTCTCCATTAGATGTTAATCCATCATCTTCGACGGCTAGAGCAGTCTCCACATTCTGTTTCGCTTTCTTACCCTTCCTCTTCTTGGGCAAAGGCGACCAAAACTGATCTTTGTCTGTGCTTGGCTCTGAATTTGCCTCATCAAGTACTGGTGAATCTGCTGCAGACAAGACCTCCCTCGCCGCAGGCGTATAAGATTGCACCGCATCGTCCGCGACTGTGGCTGGCTCTGAGACCACAGATAAATCCTGTCTCTGAGCCTTCTTGCCTTTCTTGCCCTTCTTGGTGGATTCAGGTGGTGTCCAGAACGCTTGGGGATCCTCGACTTCGGTGCTTTCGGCGGTCTCTTGAGGTGTAGCAGCATATGGATCTGGACCAAGGCTTGACACCCGACCCTGATCCGCTCCAGGCTCGTGTTGTCCACCGTCCGTCGAAGATACTGCATCATGCGCAGCGGATGGCGTGACAGAGCGCGCCCTATCGCCAGGCAAGGCTTGTACCATGTCGGTGGCAGTCTTGACTTGTGAAGTTTCGCCGGCCTTCGACTTCGATCCTTCCTTGCCTTTCTTTGATTTCTTGGTAGTTGATTCCCAGCTGATTTCATCGAGTGCTTTGGCGTTCTCAGATGCTGGCAGGTCAGGCTGTACGTAAGGTCGGGCGGTCGGTGGCTCAGATGGCATGTCGAAGGCACGAGGCTGACTTGGCACATCGCTGTTGTCTTGCGAAGCTACTACCATGTCCTCGTAAGTACGCTCAGGTCTTGTCGACTGCTTAGGCTTATTGATCAATGGCTTGATGTGCTCATGTACATGATCGGATTCCGCATCAATAAAACCTTCGTCATCTTCGGGGAGCGGTACTTGCGCTGCTGGCCAAAATTCGGAGTTAACTTGAAGGTCAGCAAGCTTCTCGTCGGCATTGCGAGTTGCTTCACTAAATGCGACCTTTGGTCTGTCCACTGGTCTCCAGTCGTCTTCGTCTGCAGCTCGCAGAGGGATATCCTCGGGGCGAAGAACGGGCGATAGCTGACTTTGTGCATGAGGCTCTTCGCCGGAAACCGCTCCAGGCAATGCCGATCTAGTCATCATCGTACGAGCTGAGTCTCGTTCAAGCGTATTGCTAGGCTCCATGTCATATAGCTGATCTTCTGGCAGGTGTACATCGTGCGGTCCTCTATCAAATTTCGCAAAGTTAGGTGCTTCGGGCTTGATATCTTGGGGTTCATGCACTGGCTTGAAGTCCTCGTATTTGTCGTTGGGCAATGGCACATCGCGAGCCGCAATGCACAACTCAGTGGGCTGCACAGGTGCATCGAGGGCACTGGCATCGAATACCGGAGCTATCAGCATTTCGTCTTGCTCTTGCGGCAGTGGCACGTCTGCTGGCAATGTCACTCTTCGACCTGTATGTACTTCTCCTGTACCGAGCCTGGGAATGTCTGCCGAGTGAGACATAACATCTTGCACAGGATCGAGTTCTCGTGCAACGCCGGGGATCGCACTCTTGCCATCTCCAGTCTCCAGTATCCGCTGCCAATCGTCATCATCTTGTTGCGGTCTCTGCTTCTTCTTGTCCTTCTTTGCCTTCTTGCGAGCAGCAGCAGACATTGGTACCTCGAATGCGGATGCCTCAGGCTCTGCATCAACCGGATCTTCCTCCTTCAGTGCTTGCACTACTGCTGGTCCAGGAAGGGACCACGAGCCTGTCTGCGTCGCTTGGACATCTGTGACAGGTGTCGAAGTTTCCACAGGATCTTCGACGGACACTTCCGGCAGGATGGCATCGCCCACAGTACCACGATCGTCTGCGTCATCTCGGGACAGGCTCACATCTGGCTTGTGAGTAGGCTTTGCAGCCTTGGCTTGATCGGTTGGTGTTTCGCTCAACGAATCGCCCCACTTAAAGGCCGATGTAGCTTTCTGCTTCTTCTTGGCCTTCTTCGATTCCTTACGAGTCAAAGCAGGTGCATCCGCGGTATCGGGTTCGTTCGTGGTGGTCTCCATTAGTTCGAGGTCAGTGAGTGCCGCTGCTGTAGCGATCACATCTGATCCTCTTGGGGTGAATGTCTCCTCAAGGAATCTGTGATCGGTTGAAACGGACTCTCCTTGGTCGGCGACTGATCTCACAGTACTAGCATGGGGCACCGATTCGTATTTCTGAGGCGAAGATATTTCCGGGACGGGAGCCTGTGCTGTATCCGCATATCGATCCTTGGTTTCCACTTGCGCCGTGTCCCAGTCGAAAGCGCTCGCAGTCTTCTGCTTCTTCTTGGCTTTCTTCGACTGCTTGCGGGCAAGAGCGGGAGCGGTCCAGGTCTCCGTCTCGAGTGCGTCACTTGATGTTTGTTGGACATCGCTGTCTTGCTCTACTGACGAGGCCATAGCTGCTGCTGCATTTTTTGAGAGACTAGCAGCATTGTCTGCGGACCGAAGATCGTACAATTCGCGGTTGGATTCTGCAGGTTCGGCAGCGTGCCCTTCTGTGATACCGGATCCGAGGGTCTCTGCTGGAAGGGAGTCATCATCCCCGGTGGAGTGGTCGACTGCGGGAGATCCATTAAACCTAGCATAGTCGCTGGTAACAAGATTTGCTCCACTAGCCTTCGTGATGATCTCCTCTGTCGACTGCTTAGCACCCTGCTTCCCCGTCCCCTTCTTCTTCGATGTCATTCGAGTGACGGCGGGCCAATTAGATGCTCCCTCCATCAGCTCTTCCGGCTCTACGGACGCAGGAAGTGGGAGTCGCTCCTCTGCAAAGTCCTGTTCTTGCTCCTTGAACTTGCTGGATCTTGGCGTCCGGCCCTCGCTTTCTTCGTTGTCGTCAGATTGCATTGTCTGGTGCGCCAACAGTGCGGCGCCGCCAAACATGGCAGCAGCAGCAAGCGCCTTCGCCGATCGACGTGGCTTGATATCCGGAAGCTTGACCTCGTTCTCTGGTGAAGACGGGGGACTATCTGGCAAAGGTGGTAGGACGACGGTACGCTCTTGAGAGTGCTCAACATACAGAGGTGGACGTGCTGCATCTCTGCTGGCTTGGACAGGCATGTCATTGTGTGGCTCAAGATCATGATCATGCATACGCTCGTCTTGTTCGAAGTCCTCCCAAGTGTAGAACTGCGGCTCCTGTCTGGTAGGCCTCTCGAACGCCGTCTCTGGAAAGTCACTAGCTTTAGGCGTATTTTGCTGAGAGTCAAGATAGTCATCGGAAGCCTGGAATGCATGGGCATGGCTGGTGTCGATCCTCAAAGAACGTTCACGACACGGCGATGGCGGGTCCTCGATTGCTGAGTGCCAGTCGTCACTGCCTTGTACACTCGAAGCACGACTAGATGGCTTGCTCGAAGGTAGGCTTGGCAGCATATCCTCCTCCTCGACGTCCGGAACCTTGCGGTTGCGTTCGACCAGGTACAGCGGTCTGATCTCACTCGAGGTTGGTCGTGGTTTCTTGTGCGAAGAAGTCGGAGATGTCGGTGTCGAGGACTGCGTTGGTGTACCAAAGCTCAGAGATCTTTCCTTGAGTGGCTGCGGTGGCGCATGGCCGAATGGGAAGCGTAGTGGAACAGCCGTAGCAGAGGCAGGTCTACCTGTCAGGCCAGGTCGTTCTGGGGTGTCGACTGCTGCATCGGAGCGGAACGAGTCCTGGACATCTTCTGCCCAGCTCAGAGTTGGCTTGTGCCTGCGAACACTGGCTTGCTTGTCAGCGAGTTCCGCTGATGCGGCTGTAGGAGATCCTGGATGAGACGCAGGTAAAGCAGGGAGCTGCTCTCCGTGATCTTGCGGAATGATGGTCGAGTCATCATGACCTGCAGGCAATTCCGCAAGATACAAGTCGTCGGGAGCTCCCCGCTCATCAACGCCAGCGCCGACGACTTGGTTGTCGACAGCAGCGAACTCAGGAAAGACAGCTCGAGTATCCGACTCAGCCGAGACAGGCTTGCCGGAACCCTGCTCATGATTGACTGATGCCAAGATCGGAGACTCAGGTGGACTGGCGGGTAGAGGCGGCAAATCCTCTACCCGATCACCTAAAAAAGACTGATCATTCGATTCAGATCCGCCAGTTCTCTTTCGACGATGCTGTGTATGTCCTCTCTCTGTTCCAGCACGAGAGATCGTGTCATCGTCATCATTGTCGTCTCGGTGATGTCGGTGTCTGTGTCCTGACTCGGAACGAGTATCGAAATCGTCATCGCCATGGCGGCTTGAGCGGCTCTTCTCTTGACTATCTACATCGTCGTCGTCTCGATGATGATGCTTCTTCCTTCTGCTTTCGGATGTTACGCTACGGGTGTCATCGTCATCGTAGACTGAGCCTTCCCTATGCTTCTTCTTCCTGTGCTTGCGCTCGTCATCTTCTTCACCAGCATCCCGTGTCGAGGTACGACTCAACGGTGCCTCGTCCGAGTGTGTCGACTGCCGACTCAGTGGCACAGTGTCTGCTGACTTCCTGCTGAATAGTCCGAATAAGCCACCCTTCTTTTCCTTCTTGGAACTCGTCGGCTCTTCCTTCTCACGACGTGAGCGCGAAGACACTGTTGACTTCGCATCATCGTCGTCATCCTCGTGTCGAGACCTACGCTTCGACCTTGTAGAGCTATCGTAGTACCCAACAGGCTCCGATCCAGCGACGGAGCGGTCATCATAATAATCAGGATCGTCAGCGTAGCCTACTTCTGACCTCGCCTTTCGCCGACTGCTATGCTCAGACTCATCGCTTCGTTGAGCCGGCTCCAATGTCCTTGATCCCGAGCGTTGGCTTGTAGGGGACTCTCGACGGTCAGGCAAGTCCACACCGTTGTCACGATAAAGCTCAGACTGACCACCACGTCCAGCGTCGACATCTCTCGTCTCGGTAGATGACTCCACAGCATGACCATTCGCATACGACTGCGGCTCAGCAGTGACTCCAGCCTCAGCGCCGGCTTTCACCTGCGCAGGTTGTTCGCCAATATAATCGTCATATTTCCACTCAGACCTCAAGGGAGAGGCAGCCACAGGTTCATTGAATCTACCACTGTCCCGCTTCTTCTTCTTGCTCTTCTTCGACGAAGAAGTAGTAAAGTCATCAGCGGAAGCCTCGTTGTCCTGTAACGCTGGTGGCGGCTCGTTCTTGACTTGATACTGGAAAGGATCGTATGCATCTGCAGGTGTCTCGGCAGCCTTCTCAATGGTCTCACTTACCCAGTTGCCAGGCATCGATGGCCGCTCATTGCTGCTTGGAAGGTTGGTCACAGGCGTCTCGGAAGGCTCGATATCGCGGATATCACGCTCGAGCCCTGCGCCCTTCTTCTTGCCCTTCTTGCTTTTCTTCCCAGAAGTGGGCGTGCCCCACTCGTCTTCCGGCTCAGCAGGACTAGAGTCACTCGCGAGAGCAGCGGCGCCGCCTACAAGCGCAGCAATACCAGTAGTGGCGGCTAGAGTATCAGCCACATCCGCAAACCCTTGCTTTTCCATCTCCTTATCGCGATTTTTCTGCTCCTTCTTGCTCAACGCGGGCGTAAAGTCAGCATCAGAAGCGGTCACCTCGGTGGATGGCGACTCGTCATAGAGGTTGCCGGGCTTAGTATCCTCTACAGCAGGGCTGAAATCGGAGAGCCCACGCTGCAAAGCCTTGTCGCGCTTCTTCTTATCTTTCTTGCTCATGAAGAAGTCCGACGGCTTATCTCCAGCAGGAGTGACGGGATCGACGAAGATCTCTTGCGCGGGAGGCTCGACTTCTTCCACAGCTGGGTCGCTATCGAACGCAGACGCCAGCTTCGCCGCCTTATCACGCTTCTTCTTGTCCTTCTTACTTATGAAGAAGTCCGCATCATCCTCTGCAGGTGCTTGCACTAAAGGTTCCGCATCCTTGACTATTGGTGTAGAAGGCTCGCTCGGGTCGCTATCGAAGGTGTCTGCAAATCTCGCGGCCTTCTTCGACTTCTTCTTGTCCTTCTTGCTGACAGCATAATCGATCGCTTCTTCCTCATTTTGCAAGGGAGCAGATCTCTCAGTTTCCGTGACAGTGGGCGTGGTAGTCTCGACCGGCTCGCTGTCGAAGGTGTCCGCAAACTTGGCACCTTTTTTACCCTTCTTACTCTTCTTATCTTTCTTGGCCGCGAAGTAATCTGCAGGTTCTTCCTCCGCAGTATCGACAGTCTGGACCTGCTGTGTCGGGGTGTCGTCGAAAGCTTCGGCCTCCATCGCAGCAGCTGCAAGTTTGGCAGCTTTCTCGCGCTTCTTCTGGTCCTTCTTGCTGAGCGGCGGCTCCCAACTCGGGGAGATATCCGTCTGCACAGACTCTTTGGGTACAGGGGTCTGGACTTCGTCGTCATCATCGAAACCACCTGGAATATGTGGTATTCCCTCCACAACGGGCGTCGGCTCATCTGTCTCACCTTCTACAAAGCCGCGGACTTGAGGCGCACCCTCTGTGCCTGGAGTGTCGACTGCAAATCTGCCCATTCCAATATCCGAGACAGACTCGTAGAACGGCTGCTTGTACGATGGAAGCGTCTCTGCTGGCGAAGCGTCGTATCTGTCTGCGAATTTCGAAGTACTGGATGCCCTACTCTCTTCCTGACGCCGGTTCTCCTCAGCCTCCCTTTCGAGATCGGCAGCCTTATAGCTTGTCGTCTTGGACTTCCTACCAGGCTCCTCAGCCTCCACAATGACTTCATCGAGCCCAGCCGAATCATTTCTAGACGAAGCGGTAGGGACATCCTTAGCCTCCATATACGACCCCCTCTCCTGGAACGACTCCGGCGTGGGCGGGTCGTAAACATGCGTCCTGTCCTCACCCCAAGAAATGCTTCGACTTCTATCGCGCTTGCCCGACTGACTTGCGCCCTCTTCAGCCTGTTGTCCAACTTCTTCCGTCTGAGCAAGAGCCGAAGGAGGCAGTGAAGGCTTACTTCTAGCACCGAAAGCCGGACTACTGGGTGGAGGCGTAGGCGAAATGACATTGAGAGCTGGCACACCATAAGGCGCATGCTTGCTCTTCCCATACCCATCACCGAAGCGTGACCGCAGCTCTGCATCAGCGCCGTAGTAAATTTGTGCATCGTTGTCTGCATTGGGCCCAGCAACGGCTGTCTTGCCTGCAGAGTCCTGGCTGAGGATGTCCTTGGGCGCGAAGAAATCAGCCTGCGAAGGCGCAGGCTTGGAGTAATAATCATCCATATCCGACACCACCTTATCAGCCTCACGAGCGTTGGTAGCGACTCGTGCATACTCCGAGTCACTGCGCTTGCGCTTGAAAAAGTCTTTGTCGAAGAGATCGTCGTCCATGATGGGAGTGCCTGAGGTTTCTTGATCCGGCAGGATTTGCTTGGCAGAATAGTCAATCGGCTCCGAGTCTTGGATCGGGTGATATAGAGCTTGTCCTTCTGGATGAGAATCATGCTCGCGTGCACGATCTTCGTTGCGTTGACGGTTTCGTCCATGCTCGGCGCCTGCCATGACGGCCCCGACCGTAGCGGCAGCAGCAGTCCCCATGGCGACATTACTCCATCCACTTGAGGACTGCCTTGGTGGTGGTGCATCTTCGAAGCGCTCAGGCTTGCGAGAAGACTCCTCACGTGAACGCCTATCCTCTTCGTCTCTCATCCTTTTATCCTCTTCACCCTGCTCCCTCGCCTCTCTCGCCTCGCCAGCACGTCTCCTCTCCTCAGCCTGCTGATCAAGTTCCCTCTGCTTAGCATCAATCTCCTCCTGAATCCTCGCCTCACGCGCCCGCTTCGTCTGCTTCTCCCTCGCCGCCTCCTCGGCAGCCATAGCTTCCCACTGCCTCCGACTCTGCTCCTGAGCTCGACCCTCGTCTTCCAAACGTCTTTGCTCGGTTTCCTGTAATTCACGACTGCGTTGGCGTTCGAGCTCCGCTTTCCTCTCGTTTTCTTGTCGACCGATGCGCTCGCGTTCCAGAGACGCTTCGGCAGCGACTCGATTCTCCTCTTCTCGTCTCCTCCTGACATCCTCCTCACGCCTCTTCGCATCCTCTTCCTTCGCATGTCGACCAGCTTCATCTTTCAGAGCCCTCGTACGATCGGCCCGGCGTCGCTCGTCCTCCGCGTCTTCGCGATCACGACGCCGCTGGCGATCTTCCCTCTGCTGCTGTTCGTCTGTAAGACCGAAACGAACATTAGAATCCTTGCGAGCACGACCTTGACCAGCGATGATGCTGCCTGCAGCGAGGGCACCGGCACCAATCAAGGCAGCGTCAGTAAGGCCAAAGCTAGGTCGTGTTGGGGACGATGCTGTACGACGTGGTATGGGACGACCATGGACCACATCTTCCATCACAGCTGGTGAGACGGGAGCAATCGGTTGCGGCTGCTGCAGAGGAGCGGGTCCTGGTCGTCCGTTTGGAGCATCCCAAGAGCCTGGCATGGATGCATGTCTCGAGCCCCCTTCCGAGACAGGCTGAGGGTCGACGTATTGCATAGGCTGCTGGTACACAGCAGTAGGTGATGTGTAGATACCAGGTGCACCACCATTGGTCTGCTGGGCATGCATGTGATCATCAAGAACCTGCTGCCTTCGATCTGGAGGGTAGACAGGATCGGGTGAAGACGAACGGCGCTTCTTCTTCTTATCCTTGCCTCCCCACCGCCAACCCCAGGCACTTAGCCCATCGCCAGATGAGACACTCTCCAGGCTCTGCCTATGCGACAACCTCGAACCATTTCCGAAAGCAAGACCAGAATGAGTGCTAGACGCATCATCGACATCAGACGGCAGTTCGTCCTCCCATTCCTCCTCATCAGAAGGACGATAAGTCCGGCCATCATGGTGAACCTTGACATCCTTTCTCGCACCCAATTCAGGCCGACTATTGCGGTCGGCAAGGCGATGGCCTTTCTGCGCAGCAGCCAAAGCAGCAGCCGTCACGCCAATGCCCACCACAGTCGCAGCAATATTCTCGCTGGATCTCCTGCGTGCGGATCGTCCCGATCGCTTACGTCGTAAAGGAAGGTTGGTCTTGGAGGAGGAACCCTCACCGAAGTTAAGATCCTCATCCGAGGACGACGAGCCATCGCCAAAGCCAAAGAAGCTTTTCGGTTTGCCACGACGCTCTCGGCCATCATTTCTGTATTTGCGCTCGTTCTGGGAGGGAGAGAAAAAGCTACCGAGAATGCCGGTGCCCTCGTCTTCACGGCGCTCATCACGTCGCCGAATCTCAGTGTAGCCGCCGTTGGGAGTATTTCGATCTCGATGGCGTACAAATTCACCTTGAGCTTGATCGCGACGTTGTCTCGAATCACCGGTAAATGCCGAAGCCGCCGTGACGCCGATAGCAGCCCCAGCAGCGGCGCCGAGAAAGCCATCCTTACGCTCACGTGACGAGCGCCGCCTCTCCAGCTTACCGTCCTTTGTGCGTACAGTGACATACTCTGTCGATGAATCGCGCCGAGTGACACCGTGCTCGGTCCTCCGTCGTCGTTCGCGAGAAGAGCTGCGACTCCGCCTCCGCATAGCTGAGCTCGCGCGATGGCCGGACTTGACACTATAAGTATCATCGAAATCCTTACGATCAGTGAATAGAGCATTAGCTCCAGCTGCAACTCCTGCAGCAGCCAGACCCGCACCAAGAACATTTGACCGGCTGCTCTGTTCTCGCCTATCGCGCTCAGAATAGTATCTGCTCTCCTTATCAACACGCCTGCGCATAGTCTCGCTGCTATTCTTACGCTGCATTCGTTCATAAGACTTTCGCCTTCGTAGGTCCTCGAAGGAGTCCTCTGATGGTCGGCGATGATAGTGATGTTGGCGAGGTCCGTCATTAGGCGTACTGCGTGGATCGAAGCAGTGTTTGCAAACGCCGATATACTCCGTGTACTCTTCCATGCGGCGCACATCGTCGGGGTCGGATATCAAGTTGAAGAAACCGTCCTTGAGTCGGGTCATGGGACCTTTGTGCTCGTGATACTGGAAATTCTGGTTCGTGTTGCCGCCGTCATTGTATGAGCGCTCATCAGTTCCAAACAGCGACCTCGTCTGGCCTGCCTGGGTCTCAGTGCGGTAAGAGGTGTTCGTGTACGAGGACTCCCGCTGATCGGAGCGTTGACTCGTCTCGTAGGCGCCTAAGCCTGCGGCCGCGCCGCCTGCTGCATATGCTGGAGGGTTAGAATTAGTACGGGCAGAGGACTTACCAGTGGTGCGCTGCTGGGGCGCGGATGATGGTGCATAATATGATGAAGCAGGGCGTAAGTCTGCAGGATCTGAGCGCGAAGGCCTGGATGGTGTGACTGGCTGACTTGTGCTTGGTCTGTTGGTGGTGGCGCTGAACACACCAGCTGTGACGGCTGCTGCTGCTGAAGTCGACGCAATCTTGGCAAGTGAAGATACCTTGCCAGTGCTTTTAGAGGACTTCCTGGTCGGCTGCACCGGGCGCGTCTCCGCTGTAGGCACAGGGTCCGCGGCACCGCCATAATAATCTGCAGCGGAACCATGACCAGTGTCCGGTGTCTCCTGAGCCGCGGCAGAGGCGGCATGAAGATGAAGATCGGGGTTGACTAGCATGTTTGGTGTACGCGAACGTACTCCCGGCTGATAGTCGACCGACTGCCCTTCGTCAAGATAGTACTCTGATGCGTGTCCGAAGCTATCGGCTCGTGTCGGTCCAAGTCGAGGTCGGCTGAATTTGGCTGGAATCTGCTGCGGGAATTGATGAGCTGGATCGGCGGATGGCAAAGCTCCAGACATCGCATGAGATTGGGATTGAGATTGAGATTGCTGAGATACTGGTCCGACCAAGGCACCGCTGTTCTGTCCAGGAAATTGATCGAAGCTCCCCATAGCCGGAATGCCTCTTGCGTCACTGGGTCCATCTACGATATCTTCGGCGCGAGATTTGCCACGTGACTTTTCGCTCTTTCCACTTTCTTTCGTGCTCTCGCGCTTTCGCTCCTTCCTGTCTCGCGACCTGCTTCGTTCCTTCTCCGATCGGCTGCTTTTCTGTCGGCTGCGCTTCTCACCTCGCGCATCCTTGTCGTCCTCCCAGTCGTCGTCGCCGTCGCCCAGTGCTCTCACAGCACTTTCCGTCAAAGAGAATGGTCCATTTGTGCCTGACCTGGTTGGCGTAGTCGCGCTCCGTCCTTCGTCGTCGCCGTACATGCTCTTGCTACTTCTGTGCTTTCGACTTCCATCTTCACTGCGATGAGATGAGGATGGCACTCCCACCTCACTAGCACTCGCGCGCCCACTGCTGCTCTTCTTGCGCCTCACTCCAGAAGTGCTGCCGCTCTCGCTTCGGCCGGAAAATGCTTTCCACATTGTGCTTGTACTTTTCGCAAGTACTCAAGAGATTTAGATGAAGTGGTATGCAAGCCGAGTCGATTTGAGTGAATCCGAGGATGATATGTGGTGTTGATTGTGTTGGTCGTTATGGTATACACAGCTTACTGTAGGTACACAGTCGCGTTCACCGCAATCGTCGTGAAGTCGTTACAAGCTATACAAAGACCGCCGGACCGCTAGTACAATACAACGTGCGTATAGATGCAAGCCATCGCCGCGATTCAGAAATCGACAAGTGCGCAATCGGCCTGGTGGTGTGGCAGACGGAGGAGGCTTCGGGGCACACCTGCATGCATGCGCTGTACACTTCAAGCTTGGACCCGTTAGTTATGAGTTAGAATTACAGTATTAGCTTTGGGGTCCGAGAGGCTGGGTGGCAAGTCCCGCTAACCTACCGATCACGCTAGCGCCTGACGGTTCAGCTTGAAACGAGCTGCAAGAACGAAACTTGCGTCTGAGGTCTCATCAAGGCCGACATGGCGGCGTTCTACACCTTCGAGGATCTCAGTGGTGGCAAAAATACACCCACTACTTCCGAAAACCCTTACGACGGCTTGATTGAGGCTTGCAACAATGACTGTGTACGACTCCCAACGCCGCCCTCATACTGCAATGATCTGATTCGCAAACAAGACGGCAATTCAAGCCCGATACAGCACGCATCGCACGGCTCGTAATGCTCAACAGCGCGAGAAGCTGCTTGGTGCTGACTTTGCTGGGGTGAGCGTTGATGAGGTTCTGGCTAAGCTCGAAGATCCCACAATCGAACCAGGCTTCAAGGACTGGCGGCACTGTCTTGTATTTTGGGCACGACCACCACAATCAGTGCGTGACCTGATCGGTGAGGTGCAGAAGAAGCTTCTGGCTGTGGCGCCGAGTATGTCGGTATTCATGATTATATCACTTGATCGTGTACTGACATGAACGAGACACCTGGATGATGCCCTCGCAGAACTTGCACATGACAGCACTGGAAGTCACACATTCTCTAACAGCGTCCAAGATCGACGAGCTAGTCAGACAGATACTTCCAGGCTCTTCCGAAATCGTGGACTACACTCATAACCATCAAGCACGACTTGTGAAGCCTCTAGTCAGCTTCGATGCCCAAGCTCTTGCACTGTCCTTCTTGCCTGCAGCCGGAGAACCAGGTCGATCGCGGCAGAAAGACGGCTATTCATACCACCACTTACGCCGCGATCTGTACACCAAAGTCTCGGCGACTAGTGTGAAAGTGGCCAGTCGATATGTGATTCCTTCTGCTCATCTCACCATTGCTCGCTTTGTCACGAAGAAGGATTTTGAGACCGCAGATGGCACAGTCGATCATGCCAGAGTCCAGAAGCTGGTCGATACGATTGAAGAAGTCAATGCATGGCTAAGGGAAGAGTACTGGCCAAAATCGGACGGCATCAAAGAGGGCGGCGAATGGGTCGTCGGTCAAGACAAAGGACTGGACTTTAAGCATGGTGCCCTTTGGTATGGCGGTGGCGAAACAGTGACACTTGGTAAAGGCTTCTGAGGTCATTCGAATGACACGAGGAGGCGCGAAATTTTGTTTGATTTTATGATTGATTTCCTGTGGCAGGGCCAGTCTTCCGTGTGATCCGCTGATATAGACGAATAGAATTTGGCAAACGGCTTCGAAATTCAGATCTCGCTCAATACTTCGTCATTACTTTCCAACCTGCCAGCTTCACCCGAGCAGCCAGGATGAACACTGATCTGTAAAATGTCAGCTATGTGCACATTCAGATAAAACTCAGGATCGCATACCCAGCAAGAGTCATTACACCACCATATATCTGCAGACCAGTGTAACTGCCATGCCATCGCGTGATGAGTGCACCACCGATTGGATTCGAGATGAGTGCCGCTACTGATATGACGGCAAAAAGTGTGCCGGTGCGCACACCGATTTGACGGACGTCAGAGATCTGGGCGATGAGGGATGGTGCTAGAGAGACGAAGCTTTGCTCATCGTCAGCATGACTGCGAGGAAGGTAGTGATTGGCGTACTCACGCTCCACTGCCAAACCCGAAAAGGGCGGCGAAGACAATGATGGGTGCATTGCCGGTCGACGGGACCCACATCGCCAGGATGAGGATTGCAGTGAAGCTGCGAATCATATCAGGATCAGCATCCACGCTCGGTTTCCTGGGCTGAAGACGACTTACAAACACATGATGACCATCATATTGAATCTCCCAATCTTATCCGCAACATACCCCGGTATTGTCCTACCAAACAGACTGGCCGCGTTCAGTACGGCGACGAGGTATTGTGCCAGACTTGGAGCCATGCCGAAGTGCTCGGCTTCGAGGATGATAAAGGTGATGGGTAGGAACATGCCCATGAAGAAGAGGAAGGAGCCAATGGAGACCTATGAGTGTGAGCTTTATCAATATCGAAGCTCTCGCATGTGTTGCTTACTAGATCGAAGGGAACTTCTTGAAGTGGTCGGATGAACTCCATCACATTCCACGGCTTTTTGAAAGGTGGGACTCGGGACTTGACGGTCAAGTTGGCGATGATCATCATGAAGAGGATCAGAAACCCTGCGACTCGAAGAGCCCTGGAAAGCAAGATCAGCATGTCTCAATGACACAACCCAGCCACCACTTATACTCACCAACCGAATCCAACCTCCACAATCAAGCGCTGGATCATAATCGGAAAGATCACGCCTCCCAGCGAGCTCCCACTAGCAATGATTCCAAACGCGAACGCCCTCTTCTGGAAGAACCAGGTAGTAATGGTGCTCATCGCCGGATAGAAGATCATACTGGCTCCAATTGGCGAACAGATCCCCTGCGCCAGGATAAACTGATAATACTCCGTGCACAAACTCGTCATCATGATCCCAAACACATGCATGAACGTGCCCACGATCAACAACCATCTCGGTCCATAATTATCATACAGCTTCCCGATTATCGGCCCGCCGCCGAACATGAAGAAGAGTTCCAGCGAGGAGATCCACGATACGGTACTAGGGGCGTAGGAGGAGAGTTGATGGGTCTGGTAGTATGCTTGAAATACTCCTACGGCGTTGATCCAGCCGAAGGAGCAGAAGAGGATGCAGAAGCCGCCTAGAGCGCATAGCCAGGCTTCGCGGCCGCCATCAGGGTTGTCGCGAGGGTTGAAGGCTCCGGGTGGTGGGCCAGAGGGTGCACCGGGGCCTTTCTCGATGTCGGCGGGCTGCGGTTGGTGGTCGTCGACTACTGGCAATGCTGCTGCTTCTGTGGTGTTATGAACAGGATCATTGTTCTTGCTGATAGACGTTGGTGATACAGGCTTCTCATTGTCCACCATGGACGATGCTGGGGTAGTTTGGAACGACATGGCCAATGACTCTTGTGTTGGCTTGGCTGAACGATTGTAATGCAAGCGGGACACAAGATCTGATATGCAGCCTTAAGCAAGATCAAGAGCAAGACAATAGACTTTGTACCCGCCACGTGAATAGAGGTGACAACCTGCGGCCGAGAAGGTGGTTTTCTTCTCTTTGATATCATTGGTTCATGCTGCATGTTGTGCTATAGCTCATGTCTTCTATCGGGCCCACGGGGACACGGAAACCCTGAAGCTTCCAAAGAGCGATCTAGTCGCTCTCCATCAACACACCTTCACCAAGCAGCGGAGTTAAGGTTACTTGACTCATCAGCTAAGTAGTATACGATTTGTAACACGACCCTCGATTAGATGTAGTCGATCGTAGTAGGATACGGTCTTGTCACTATCAATGTGAAGGTTTGTCAAAAGTCTTGGCATTGACCCGCAACTTCTGACAACGGGGACATATGATAACCCGAAACTGCAGAGTACTAATAACTCCGTGTCTCCATCATCTACGTGGGCTTCTCGTACGAGCTCCAAGCACGGTGCACACGTCGTGGCAGAGTCCCGAAAAGCGATGGCTCGCATTCATGAGGCCTTGCACCATTGCGAGGCTGGCCAGATTTGGCTTCATTACGCTGTTTACCAGTACATGGCGTGCTCGTCCACATCCCACAGCAACAGGACATTCGGGGTGAGAAAAGCCCCTGGTGTCAACTCAGGCCGACGCCTCAGCTTCAGCCTGTCGACCGGCAATACTACCGCCTCGCCAGCTATGCTTAGGATCCTCCCTCTCGTGCTGTCTGCTCTCGCTCTCCTTGCCAGCCGGACCCCACCCGCCACCACCGGGCGTCATTATAATGATCCGCTCACCAGGTTGCATCGAAGCAGTATTTTTGCCGCCCATGTTGATATGTCTGTACTCCTGCTCAGCGTCTAGGCCATTCGCTTGTTGCTGTGGCTTTGGAGTACTGCTGTTCTTAGTGCCCTCAGCAGCGTCTGCGTCGCTCCCTTCCACTTTCGGCACTTTACGCACCCACACATTTAGCCCGCACTGCGCATCCTCTCCACCCTCCAGGCCATAAGGGTGATAGACCCTCCTCTCACTCAAGATGCTGACCTGCACAGGTATCCGGAACTCAATATCCCTCACAACCCCGTCTCCACCTTTGTGCTGCCCCTTCCCATGGCTATCCTCTCTTAAGCTGAATTCTCGCAGAATAACAGGATATCGCCTCTCGAACACTTCAGCATCCGTGATCCGTGTATTGGTCATATGCGTGTGCACACCATTCGTCCCATCCCAATCTGGTCCCGCGCCACTTCCTCCTGCAATCGTCTCGTAGTAACCAAACCCCTTGACGGCTTTCTCGCCTTCGACATTGCCGCCAAAGCCAAAGGTGAGATTGTTGCAGTCGCCTTGGCTTGCGGCGCAGGCGTTGAAGGCTTTGAGGACGACGTCCGTTACTCGTTGGCTGGTTAGGACGTTCCCACCCACCACGGCTGCGGACCCTGAGGGTGAAAGGAAGCTTTTCTTTGGTATGATGACTTTCACGGGACTCAGACAGCCTTGATTAAGTGGAATATCTTCCTTGATCAGACATCGCAGACAGTAGATGATGGCGCTGTATGTGACTGCTTCCGGTGCATTGGTGTTGCCATAGACTTCAGGACCCGTGCCAGTGAAGTCAAATATTGCCTCGCCCTTTACAGCATCGATCGTGATCTTCAGCTTGATTGGCGAACCGTCGTCCATGTAGTCTACTGCACTCAGGTCACGACCTTCGAAGCGTTTGCTAACATTCTTGAGCAGATTCCGTACGCTAAGCTCGGCATTGTCTTGGATGTTGTGCATATAGAACTGTACGACATCCTCACCGTAGTCATCAATCAAGGTACTGATGAGATTGATGCCCTTCTGGTTCGCCGCAATTTGCGCTTTCAGGTCATTGAGGTTATCAGCAAGACATCTCGTACCACTGCAGCCTGGGTATTGTGCCGGCTCGTTCAACAAGAGTTCCGTGATGCGCTTTTCGTTGAAATGTCCTTCCCATACCAATTTCTCCGACTTGATACTCGCGCCTTCCTGGAACAGCTCTCGCGAGTGCGGGGGCATAGATCCAGGTAGTATGCCGCCGATATCTGCATGATGGGCTCGAGAAGCCACATAGAAGACGATTTGATCTCCGCTGAAAGCTGGGGTGATGACAGTGATGTCGGGCAAATGCGTGCCACCGAACATAGGATGGTTCGAGACCAGCACATCGCCTCTCTTCAATTTGCCTCGCCAGATCTCGGCTTGCTTCTGCACACAGGTAGACATGGAGCCTAGATGAACAGGCAGATGAGGCGCGTTGGCCACCAGACCACCGTCTGCGTCAAAGAGCGCACACGAGTAGTCTAGTCGCTCCTTGACGTTCGTGCTCACACTCGTCTTCTGCAGTGCACGACCCATCTGCTCCGCAATAGCCATGAAGCGATGTGCGAAGATGGATAGCATGATCGGATCGACCTCTTTCGTATCGACTTTCTTGTCGTGGCTGGCTTCGTCACCGATATTGATCACCACATGGGTGTCGATCAGTAAGGCTGATGCGCCCGGCGTGACGACGATTGTCTGCGTGCCGTCTGCGATAATCGCAGGACCTTGTATCCTGTCACCTACGCTCAAGTCTTCGAGCTTGTAGATCGAGGTATCCTGTCGCCCGCCCTCGAAGTACACTTTCCGCTTGCCATACACTTTACCCTCACCTTTCACATCTCTTACCTTCACCTCCTTGAGCTGCTGGTCGACAGTCCTTTCCAGCCCTTCAAATGTCTTGCCAATACCGCGAGCTCTTACATCGTCAACAATGATATCGCGATCTGGTAGGGTGAAACCGAATTCCTGCTCATGCTGTCTTACGAAGTTCTTGCCGAATGCCCAAGCATCACCACCAAAGTCTTTCTCGGCTTCATCTTTCGTAGGCTTCACAACCATTAATGCGCTTTCCGTACCTCTATATCGCATATTGAGGTACTCCTCGAAGTGTATCTGCTCCTCGTCAAAACCTTGGTCTCGCAAAGTAGCAGTCGACTTCTTCTTCAGATCTTCCATCTTGCCTTGCAGAGCCTTCCGTACCTCCTCGTCATCGTCCCTCCAGGTCTTGGACTCAGGCTCTTGTCGCTCGTCCACCACATCTGCCAAAGCCATACCATAAGCTGAAAGCACAGAGGAGTATCTGTGTACAAGGATCTGCTTGATGCCGAGCGCTTCGGCAATAGCTACTGCATGTTGTCCACCAGCTCCTCCGAATGTTGCCAGACGATGTTTGCTAGTATCGTGTCCTCTCGCTTCCGTCAGTGATCGGATCGGCCGTGTCATGGTCTCGTTGGCAATCTTGATGAAGCCGTACGCCACCTCGTCCATGCTCATCTCTTCTCTCTTCCCACTCGCACCATTGCCACCAGTCACTTCCTTGTTGATCTGCTCGGTAAGCTCCTGGAATAGTCTTTCACCAGCATTCTCGTCAATGCCCTCATCCTCATGCTTTCCAAAGATCTTTGGAAAGAAGTCTGGTAGTAGTCGTCCAAGGTAAAGATTCGCATCAGTGATCGTCAAAGGTCCGCCTTTACGATAACACGCAGGTCCTGGGTGAGCACCAGCACTTTCCGGCCCTACTACGAAAAGACCATTGCGGAAGAAAAGTCGACTGCCGCCACCAGCAGCAACAGTATTGATATCAAGCTGTGGACTCTGTATCGTCACACCAGCCGTCGTGGTCTCGAACACATGATCATATCTTCCAGCTCCATACCGTGAGACATCAGTACTTGTACCACCCATGTCGAAGCCAATGACCGGCGTCTTCGTCTCGGGATCATAACTCGTCAGCGCATATCCTACCACGCCACCCGCAGGGCCTGACAAGATCGCTCGCAAGCCCGAGAAGCCATCCACGTCTACCAGCCCTCCATCTGATTGCATAAACTCACACCTCGCGCCTTTTTCACCAGCTTCTCGTCTCACACTCTCTGTGCCGAGACCACCTTCGAAGCCTTTCTGAAAGCCATCGATGTACTTTCGTATTGCAGGAGTCAGATATGCATCTGCGCAGGCGGAAGTCGCGCGTGGTACGAGTTTGATCATGGGCATGAGTTCGTGCGATAGTGAGACGTGCTCGAAACCGATGTCCTTGGCTATCTTGCCTACGAGAGCTTCGTGCTTGGGATATGTGTAGCCGTGCATCAAGCAGACTGCTATGCTCCGTAGACCAGAATCGTAGATATCTTGCAGTTGTTTCCATATCTGCTCTCCTTGTGCCCGTTTCAATATTCTTACTGCTTCTCCTGATAGGCCTCTCACTAGCTCTGCGTCCTCATTCGTATCGTCCGCTGCAGTTGCTTCTGTCTTGTGTCGCTTTGGATCCTCCGCATAATCCTCGAGCGTCACTCGCTCGTCAATCTCTACAACTCTCGTGTACAGCACTTCCGGTTTGCGAATCGCCAGGTCGAAGATATTCGGTCGACTTTGGTTACCGATCTCGAGACAGTCCTTGAAGCCCTTCGTCACGACCATAGCAATATCCTCACCTTTCCGCTCAAGCAATGCGTTAGTAGCGACTGTTGTGCCCATTCGTATACTCTCAATCTTGCTCGTATCCAATGCCTGACCTCGCGGGATCTCCTTGCCCTCGAATTTGGACAGCAGCCGTCGTATGCCTTCTAATGGTGCATCGTCGTAGTTCTGCGGGTCCACGGACAGCAGCTTGATCAAGACATCATCCTCCATTTTGCCCGAGCCTGGATTGCCAACACAGTCTGTGAAGGTCCCACCTCGATCAATGGCAATGCGTATGCCACGCTCGCTCTTCTTTGGCAGGACCATGATGCTGGTGAGGTCTGAGGTGAGATGGGGAGAAAATACGAAAGGTGGCAGGACTTGATGTGAGATAGATGGTGTGTGAATTACCCACCTAGACTCTACTGGACTATCATGATTGTCATTGGCATAATTGCTTTGAAATGTACGAGGCTGTCTATCATCTTGCCCCACCAACGCTGAAGGAGGAGCGATGATCGAACATCGGATACCGTTAGAAGCTGTGGCCCGAGCTTAACTATCGATTGCAGGTCGAGATGAACAACAAGGTACATACTCATGACGACTGTGCTCAACGTTCACCTCGCTTCTGTCTTCAGTGTCGTTGTACGATCGGGCTTTGTCCCTCTCAAACCGCGAGGCAAGCTCTGGGACCCGAACGATTTCACATTTGCACGTTGTTCACGGTCGGAGTCTCATGTGGCAATGTTCGATGTAGGTGTTGTATCATGCTCCCGGTCTACGGCACGGGACTGCTTTGCTACTGGTGGAGAGACCAGAAACAGACCCAATGGTGTGGATGGAAGATGAATGAACGCTAACCTTCAGATGGGCTGGAGCTGATTCTTTGCCATCGTGATCCGACCACCCTCACGCACAATGTGAAGCTCCCCATGTATTCCTGTGATGCAAAGGTCCCTTCCGAAGGGAACGTGCTCGCCGCCATGTCGAGGAGATTCTAGAAATTTGGGTTTCGAGCACTCACAGGATGTGGTCTTCCCTTGCTCCCCAGATTCGTCATGAAACAGGACAGCACCGCTTGCGTAAGCCTGGGAGCAAGCCTTGAGAAACGCTTCCAATAAGAACATGCGATGTCTGCTGTCTCGATTAATGCGAAAGTCTCTCGAGTAGGGAGAGAGCGTCACCCGGAGACGAGAGAGACCAAGAAAGAGAGCGGATCTCATTCGATTCGAGGAGCCAGCCGATGAAAAGTAATGCATATAGCTGCAGGCGAATCTGCTGCCATGGGCATGATTCTGACAATGTTGAAGTCGACAGATCGTATTTCGGAGAGCCTCCGAGATGCTGGATCAGACATAGCTCCGAATACGACCTATGTTACCGGATCGTCGGGCCAAGGTCGACCCAGTGTGATATACCGCCTAGCATATCGCGGAACACAGGCTTTGCTAAGGACGAAATTAAAAAGGATCTACCTGGCAGCTGCCAAGTAGCTCTTCTCGGGGCTTAGTTTTACGGACATCGCCTCCTGACTTCCATAAGTCCGTACTCCATGGGTAGCTTGTGGCTTGTTGGTGCCATGCAAGGCATTGCTTGACCGTACTGTGCTAGCCAGCGCAGGAACACGATAGAAACGCCGATTTATAGTCCTGCCAGGAAAAGCGGCTCCTTATTCAGAGTGACCGGATGTGACGTGTGGCGAATCTGGGACGCAGAAGCTGTAGCGGGATCATGAGAGGTACGTGGCGGAGGATCCTATTGGCGTTGGGAGGGAAAGTGAGACGACTATGAGAGGGACTTTGTACTTTCAGCATCAAGGGTATCGTGTCGTATGCTTGGTCGTTTCGCAATCCCTCTCCGATGGACAAGGCGTGTTTCCACCAAGTTATATCCATATTACAATTTCAAATTTACTGCAAATCTTCGCACGCCCTAGCGACGATGACTGGAGGCATGGAAACATGTGTTATAATACAGCCAATGTATGCAAAAGAAAGATTGAGGCCAGAGTCATGGCTGTAGGCTCCTCTGTAAGGTCGCCGTCGCCGTCGCATATTCTCTGCTCCAACCCAAACCCTAACCCTTGCAAAAGTAGGATAAAGCCAAAATCCTTCCAAGACGCTTGGCGATGCTTGACAAACATTTGACGGACGGCATCGTCTTCGCTGCTCTATCAATGCCAAATCTGTCTTCATTGGAGGTTCATTCTTATAAGCCCACAATCTCGTAATGTCGAAGGTTTACGATCAGGTGTCTGGAACGCTGCAGGCGTCGATGCCAAGCCACTGATCGCTGGCGCGATGAGTGCATGATGCACGTGTTCGTGGAGGGAAGTTGTCTCACAAGCATATCCCCTATATATCTCACCCCTTCACTGCTGCCATCATCACACACTTTCTCACCTCATAAGTACACGCCTTCTCCCTTTCCACGACAATCAACCAAACCTACACACATCACCCCACCATGTCCTTCTTCGGCGGCCGTCGTGACGAGGAGGAGCGTTTCACGGAAACAGAACAATACTCCACCAACTACGACCGCGGCTACGGCAATCAGTATGGTGGTCCACGCAACGATGAACGCTTCACCGAGACTGAGACCACGACGTACCACTCCAACAACAACAATAGCAATATCCCACCCCCACCGCAAGTCCCATACCCCTGGCGTCCTCACTGGCAGGAGCGAGAGGGCCGGTACATCTTCGTGAACGAACAGAATGGAGAGCGTACGTGGGAGTTTCCGGGTCGTAGGGGTGGGTATGAGACTGAGACTACCACGACTACTTATTCCCAGCAAGGTGGTGGTGGGTATGGTAGAGGCTACGGCGGTGAAGAGAGAGTCTACGAGCAAGACACGTACACGCAACGCGAGAGTGAACGCCGTGGCGGAGGTGGTCACGGAATGATGTACGGTGCCATGGGCGCTGCTGCCGGGTTGGCTGGCGGTGCTTTCCTCATGCACGAGGGTGGCAAGATTGAAGACCGTTTCGAAGAAGACAAGTACCGCGTTGAAGATGACGTGGAGGATTTCCCTGAGAACGCTGCTCGTTGGACTGGCAACAAAGTGCAGGAGGTTGAGGATATCCCGGAGGATATCGAGGGAGGGTTTGATAGGTTTGGGAATCGGGTGGAGAGAAAGTGGGATAATGCTGTTGATGATGTTGAGGATGCGCCGGAGGATGTTTCGAACTGGGTGAGTCTCTCTTATGAAATGCATGAGTGGGGTGCTTTTGCTGACTTGACTGCGTGTAGGCTGGTCGCAAAGTAGGCGATGTCGAGCGCTTCGGTGACAATATGGATAATGCCTACGATGGCGGTCGTGATGAGTGTAGGTACGATGACGATGATCGGTACTAGACCGCCTGTCCTGCACACGCGGCATCACCTCTCTGATCACGACTTCTTCACTTGACGGCCTGTGGGAATGAGGGAGAACGGTTATGCGACTGGGCGTCTGCTCTCAGATGAGCTTTGCACGGCCTGCGATGCGAGATGAGGTTAACGGTGAGCATGCTGTACACCTGGGCAGCTTACCTGAGCATATGCAGTGTTGCATGGAGGACTTCAGCTGAACGACAGTGAAGGCTACGAGACCGAATGCGGGCATTTTCACTCTCTCAAGCGAACACGGACACTTCGGCATGGATTTGCTTTCACAAAAGTTACCTAGCTCTGAGTATCACGGTAGACAGTCATTCTCTCCCCTCTCTTGTGACCAAGAACAATGGCGATGACTTAGCTTGGCATAATTGCATACTGTGAACCTCTCTTCTGTCTTCTGGCACCGCAAACCCCGCTCGCAATCGCTACGACGTCTGCCTTGCCACCATGGCATTGTCACATCCAAAACCTCATGGTGGGTGGAAGAAGCGTGCTGATTTGACTGTTGCAGAGATGTCACTACATAATTAAGAATACTCGTGATCGAATGTAATAGATCTTGGCTGCTTGTCATGTACTCTTATCATATTGACCCTCGGGGTAGTAGGACTGATCGGGACGAGACTGGTAGAGACAGGGTTGGTAGGGACAGGACACGGTTTCGTTGCTGTTTCCTTGGACTACACTGAGGTATAGGTATCGAGGTCAGTCACGTTGCTTGTGGGGTTTCCAATGGGCGCAGCATGGGTTGATGGACACCGAGATAACGGAATGAATGGCGAAGTGGTGGGTGGCATTGAGACGAGGAGGTTCTATCCAGTCACACCCTTGCACATCTGACATACCACTGAGTTGATCTCGCCACAGACTCATTGGGCTGTAGTCTCCCAGAGGCACTTGACGAACATACGACAATCATCCGCCTGCCAGTCGCAAGGCGGGCGAGGTCGGTAGCCAATCTGATGCATCGTGCGGTATGTACCGAGTTCCCACAGGTGGCTGTGCTCACTGGAAGGTCCTGCACCGTCCGCTGCATCGTACGACTTTCGGTACACAGTAATCTTTCGCCGGAAGGTCTCGCAGAGAAGAACGAGGAACTGCCGAACTTTATATTTAACCTTATTTTGTCAACCCTTACCCACCATCGCGTGGCGAGCACGCTAGAAGTACAGTAGTGTCGGTAAATATCAACCTCACACGATATGCAAAGCATCGTCTTGTTCCTGTAAGAACGTTCTGCCTTGCAAACAATTTGCGAATGCCGTGTAAATGCAATCCTCGATATCCTCCGCTTTCGATCATCACATCTCCTGCCGTCTGATAGGTGGGCGACACCCACAGAAAGCACTCACGGTTGTGGAGCTCCTGCACTCGGACCAGAATCATGCGCCATCACAGCTCAAGTGGACACACATGTCGCCACTTGCTTGAGCTCCGAACTGTCCCGTCCTCGACAGCTTTACATACCATTTGATAGGCTTGCCACGTTCGCAATCAAGCGGGACATGGTCTCGTGGTGCTCGTGCACGAGGAAAACGCTGGTTCGCGGAAAGCCAAAGCCATGATCATTCAGGATCCACTATACAAGGATTCTCAAATTTATGGACATGCCAATTTGTGCTGTGTAGTCGTCCCTGACTATGTACATGTACACGATCTCTTTCCCCGGGATGTTCTCAAACATGCAATCAATCCTGTCGCCCTTGCATGAGTGTTTCCCGACGCCAGATGGCCGAAGTAATACGCTACAGGTCTGTGCAAACTATCCAAAGTGGTCTGGGATGGTGGGGAGTCGAAGACAGGGGTTCAGCTGTAAGCAAACACCACGTGTGGATCCCGGTGGCAAATGGTACGATTATTGCACGGTAGACCTACACGGACTATCCAAGCGGGTCTGCGATAGCGGGAACTCGGTATGGCACCCCACTCCCAGATGGCCCAGATGCTGCGCTGTAAGCATGCATGCGTGCTCAAGATCGGCTAAGGGGGCAAGGGCATGGAGCAGGTATCTCTGTTGCAAGTGGCGCATACAACATACTGTGGGCAGACGTGGACTACTCAGTGCGGTCTGAGATGGCGGAGGAATGCAGTCAGTGTTGAATTCCAGTCGCATGTGATAGATCCCATACACTGTGGGCCGTCATGAACTTTCCAAGACAATTTGAGGTGGCGGAGATCCCGAGCAAGTCTCGAAAGTCGGTCGCATGTGATAGCTTTAACGCACTGTGGGCCGACATGAAGTATCTGAAGGATCTGAGATGGCTGGGATCCGAATGAGAATTTCGAATCTCAGTCACACATCATAGTTTTGATACGTTATTGGCCGAGAGGATCTATCAAAAAGATCTGAGATGGCTGGGATGTGAAGCTTATCGTCTGTTCGTGACCGGAAAGTTCACCAGACTGCTTGGTACAGGCACAATAAGCTCCCGAAGCTGCTGACCACGAACTTTCGTCCGGAACGCTTTGGGCAGATTCAAGCAGAAGCGCTGCACGGGTCGTCTGGCACAGGCCATGGCAAAAAGTATTAGTATCTGCTCCTCTCCCTCCCCTCTCTTCTTTCTGCAATAATCTGCCCGTACCATGCAAGTGACCCCTTGATCTCGTGTTGTGATATCGACCATGCTGACGACGACGATGATGATCAGTGATACAAGCTAAACATGCCTGTATTCCTCCATCCTCCTCCCAACCCCCTCTCCTGGTGAGCTTTTGCTAACATACGTCCCAGTTGGCACGCGAGCAGACTCCTCCGGGAGAACACTTCTTCAAGGCCAGCTCCAGGAAGGACGGCACTTGTTGCCTACCTGTGATGCTGTGGTTATCGAAGCTTTGGCGTCGGTCTGACACTCGCCGTCCTGCGGCTGAGCGTTACGTCCCCGTCCCTTGCGGGAAACCATCAGCTATGTCATCACCCAGTCGGAAAAGACCTCCTCCTTCGGGAGTCCGCTGGTATCACCGTGATGATGTGCGACACTTCCACCGACTCGATCGGCCGGAGCACGCCGGGCATACATACGAGTGCAAGGTTTGCCTTGACACTGCCCGACCTCGTGCCACTTTTCGGAGGGCCGAGTGACGGCTTTCGCCCGCCAAGGTGAAGGGAGCGTGCCTCGCCACGCGCCCTTGAGCTCCCTTGAACAACGAGCCTGAAGCAAATAATATTTCCTTGTCATTTGTTTTTGCTTTCTTGATTTTCTGCATTGGGTCGGCGTTTGTGTGCGTTCCGCGAATTTGCTGCGCCATCCGCTTTCGCGGCTCTGGGGGGTATTTGTCCATCTGCTTTCGCAGCTCTGGGACCCTGGCATACCACGATCCGCACCTTCTCGTGGTGTATGCTGTCAGTACCTCGCTGGAGGGAAGCCAAGACGGATCACGTTGTACTTCATAGCGCGGCAGATAGTACTTTCAATCAACCTCACGGTCGTGAGTTGCCACACCCATCATCACTGCCGTTACAGACGAACACATCATGCATTCACTGACTTTCCAGCAATCTCACTGTCGCCGCCGTGAACCAGTCGTAACCGTCCTACACGTACTGCTGACCTCATCGTCGCCACCCCAGATCAGACGAAGCCTTCGCACCCGTACTGCTGAGTGTCAACCTCGCCAGCGCCGACCCAGATCAGACGAAGCCTCTTACATGCACAGCTAAGTGCCGACCTCACCATCGCTGCCTCGAACCAGACGAATCCTCCCATATATCCGTTGCTCTCACAACTTCAAAGAGAAGGACTATCTCCACCGCGCCCTATGAATGAAGGATGCAGGCTGTCCTCCTGAATATCTCACTATCATGGTGACATTGTGGAATAGCTCATTTAGATGAAATATGCCGATCGCCCTCTTCAATGACTCCAACGCCGCCGTCACGAACCAAGATACCAATCCCCACCGCGTCCTATGGTCGACAAATACAAGCCACCCTCCTCGATACCTCAAGGTCACCGTCGTATTCTGGGATCGCTTATTCGGATTAAAGATGCCCATACTCCTTTCCACAATTTTAGTGTCGCCGTCGCGAACCAAGATGCTCAATCACACCGCATTCTATAGACGACAGATACAGGCCATCGTACTCAATACCTCAAAGTCACGGCTGCATGCTGGGACAGCCCATCCTGATCTAATGTGCCCATCGCTCTTTTCGATTGCTCCAATGCCGCCATCGCGAACCAAAACGCTGTTGTTTGGCACTTCGCGCACACGAGAGATACATATCACTTTTCCTGATGCCTTTAGCCTTCCGATCGCAGCCTGAGATATCCCATTCATGTTTTCGACGAGCGAGACATACCCACAGTCCCTCTCAATAGCTTTGCCGTTGTAAGAAGCTGGGAGATCTCTATGTTTCTGACGACATTCGCCATCATTCCCACAGACGGAGTACACACTTGATCCTTCTCAACATTCTCACCATCGCCGTCGTAATCTGGGACGAATAGCGTTCATTCACGCAGACGGAATACCCCTTTCTTCCTTCTCGATACTCTCAACATCATCCTCGTAATCCGAGAGGATGCCTCGTCACTTCTGCAGACGAAACACATCCATATTTTCTCGACGGTCCCAGTGCCACTATCACAATCCAAGACACACCCCTTTGTTTCTACAGAAGAGCCGCAGCCACAGTCCTAGGCAAGCCTCAGCATCGCCGTCACGAACCGAGATATCCATCACCCGTCCTTGCCACCGTCATATCACTTCACCACCGACGTCGTAAGGCTAAGAGCCGCCATCACACCACCGTTGTTCACCGCCAGTCGCGGCGGAAGGATGATACATCCATTCTTCCTCAACACCCTTACCGTCATCTTGGCAGTCTGGGACGGCAAACAAAGTCGTCATTACGCAGAGCATCACCTTCTCACGCCCTCACTACATTGACCATCAATATCTCGTCTGATGGATGCTCCCTGCATGGGCTCCGGCTTAATACCCCAGCGATGCTACGCTACTCTGCCTTCCTCCACATGCATTTCCAAGACCAACTTATCCCGCCGTCGACACTGGACGTCACATCGTAGTCCACTCCTTGTCCTCATCTTCGCCTCTACTCTTCTAGTCAGGGTCGACATCATCGCTCACGCCCAGCCCATGTTGCTTCGCAATCTCTCGACCCCCGATTCTTCCCGCATGCCGACTGTGTATCCCGCAGCCACCTCTTACGAGCTCACTCTCTTGGCGACACCCAGCGTTTGTAACACTTCACTCTCGCTGTCCTCACGCCCTCTCCTAGCCTGCGATCTCATCGCGATGAGCTTCGTTGCCGATGCTGGCTCTCCAGGAAAGCGAAAACGTTGCTCTGCCTCCTTTCCATACGGTCGCTTTGGCATTCTCCACGTACCAACGAGTTCCGCCATCCTCGTCACCATCGCCATCGCCGCATCACTGCACGAAAACCGACCAGGCTACTATTATATCGACACGCCCCTCCCACCAATCCGACGCTCCGTGGCAATAACACATAGAACTCTATATATACCGACTTCTTGCTTTCTTCACGGCCCAGCCCAACCCTACACAAGAATCGACTCGAATGACCCCCAAATACCGCTCTCACCGCGGTACGGATTTCAAGCATCGGCATCACTCAGGCTCTCCTCTTTCTACTCTCCCTGCTCTCCCTGCTCTCCCTCGCACCGGCCGAATAACATCCATCCTTTCACCCATCCACACCATCCACACCATCTGAAGCTCTTCCATCCTCCCCCCTCCCTACTTCCCCCAACTCATCCTCTCAGCACATCATCAAAGCATGTCCGGTCAAGAGATAGCCCGACCCCTCAACCCCTCTATCCCTCGATCCCTCGATCCCCCCATCTTCCCACCTCCATCACGACCTCCACCTTCACCACACCAGTCCTGGCCTACTGTATCCCCTCTCCCTACTCTATCTCTTCCCTTTCCGACAGCAAAAGCCTTGAGCATAGATGGTAAATCTCTGGCATTACTCTCCTCGCCAGTACGGTGTATATTTTTCGCTCCATTTTTCAGATCCGTTCGATTCATGTTCCGTCCTATGGTTCAAGACGCGGAGTAAGGCTTGCTCATAATGGGATGGGATAGTAGTCATCATCGGTACTAAGCTCCTCATTCTCATTCGTTCATTCTACTTACTGCAAAACACACAAGAAGCGTATAAAGTACATTTTTGCGCCGTGCCCACGAGAGATATCTCGGATCGTCACCGTAACGCCTCGCTGTTGCCCAAAGTTCATGCCGCTGCCACATAAGTAGGTATGGGAGCAGGGCTAATCAGGTTTCCGTATCAGAGACCAATCCGTCGCATGATAGCATGAAAATCATTCTTTCCTTCTCCCAAAGTCAAATCGGCCTTGATGCCTATTTTCGGTGGCGCAGTCATTCGCGCAGCTTCATTTCCCATATTGCCGCAGCAACTCACCGTACCCCAATACGGCAGCAGTAGCAGAAGCACATCACTCCCGCCACCTTCAACACCGCCCCTTCTCTCAAGCAGCATCAAATCCCGATTCCCCACCACCTCACCAAACCTAATCCAAAGCCTACATCTACATCTACACCTCCCCCTTCCCTCCTCCCCCCCCAACCCCCCCCAGCGTCTTAGCCGTCCCAATCGCCTGCATCTTCCCCTGCCAACCGGGCGCCGGAACAAACTTCCTCACCGTCCGCGCCTCCTCAAGCGTATACCCCGGCACCCTAATCCCGTAATTCCTCTCCAGAACAATTTGAATGTCCTTGATATCTAGCATGCGATCCGGACGGAGTTTGGCCAGGCGACAGGCCGAGGTGATGAGGTCGTCGACGAAGTCGTCGGCGAGGTGGAGGATGTTCTCTTCTACGGCCGGGTCGAGGAAGGAGGCTGTGGGGGTTGTGGAGGGTTCGGTGGAGGATTTATTGGTGGTTGTTGGGTTGGTGGTGGAGGAGATGGATGTCCCGCCCGTGACTTGCCGGACTAGTTCATCCAATTTGCGTTTGCTGAGGACATGGTCGCCTTCGCCTTCGAGGGTGTAAGGAGGTGGGCGGGAGAGACCCGGTTGGTTCTGCATCCCCGCTGCGTTCATGGTCGGGCGTGAAGGAGGACCTTGAATTGGTTGGTTGAGACGCGGATCGATCTGCATTTGTTTCTGGATCGGGAATTTGTTGTTTGGGTTCGGGGCGTTGTGGAGGTTTGGGGCGGCCTGGGAGGGGTAGGCGGAGGTGGGGGTTGGTTGTTGTTGTTGTTGTTGTTGGGCGGCGTTGGAATTGAAGGGGATGCCGCCGTTGGGGAGTTGTGGGACGTTACTCTGGGGTTGGTTAGGCGGTTGTTGTTGTTGTTGCTGTGCGTAGTGTGCTTGAGCTTGGGCTACTGCGTCACCGTGGGAGAGGGCGTGGGGGACCTGCGGGCGTTGTGGCGCATTTGGCATTGACTGCTGGGGTTGGGGTTGTGAATGCTGCATGTTCTGCTGTTGAGGTAGTTGAGGGTGCATCTGGCGCTGTTGCTGATTTTGATATTGTTGTTGCGCATAATTCTGCTGTGGCTGAGTGGCGGATTGAGGTGTGCGCTGCACTTGCTGAGGATGCTGCTGCTGCTGTTGTTGCTGCTGTTGAGGAGCTTGTTGCGGCATGTTTGGCGTAGGTTGAGCAGCAGGCGCAGGTTGACTTGTGTTTGGCTGTTGTTGCTGTTGTTGCTGTTGTTGCTGAAAGCCTCCCTGTGGCTGCGAAGGTGAATTGGAGGCTCGCGCTTCCGTCTTGACAGGCGGCTGCTGCTGCTGCTGCTGCTGTACGCCGTTGGTACTCCCAGCTGTGTTTGATCGCTGCATCTCTGGAGCTTGAGGCTTATTCATGTTTTGCTGTGGCTGTGGTTGACCTTGCTGACCTTGCGCCGCCATCTTCGCCTGTCGCTTCCGCTCGTTATCGGCTTTGAGAGCGTTCCACTTCCCGGTCGCCTCATTCACCCCCTTCTTCGCCTCGTCCAGCATGGCCTGCAATTGTGGAGGGACGGGCTGGCTGTTCGTATTGAATTGAACGAGCTGCTGATGCACCTGCTTGCCTTTGGCGATCCAGCCATCCCGCGCCCGCATGATATTGATGGCCTGTTGCAGCCACTGCGATCGGTACTTGGCTTCCTGCTCCGGTGCGACGGTGTGGGGGAGCACGACCTGCACCGCGCGAATGTCTGCCTGGGCTTGGGCGGAGAGGGTTGGTAGCTGCGCCTGGCCTGCATTTCCCGCCTGCTGTTGCTGTTGCTGTTGCTGTGCTTGACCATTACCCGCCTGTACATTCATCGATCCTTGACCATTACTAGCCTGCACATTCATCGATGCTTGTGTGGGTGGACGCTGCTGCTGCTGCTGCTGCTGCACCTGACCCTGCCTCCCACGTGTCGAATTGGCCAACTCGGACATCAACTTCTGACTCGCGTTGCGGATCTTCTGTTCCGCCGCATTGCGCTCGTTCGATCCCTCAGCGTTGGTGTTGTAGGTGTGCCAGAGTGAGGCTAACCCATTCCGGTATTGCTTCTTCTTCTCGTCGTCGAGGAAGGGGAGGCGATCGATGGCGTCGGGCTTGATCATCTGACCTGGGCCGGATTGAGCCATTGATGGCCGTCGTTCGATATCTATGCTTTCGCGAAAGTCGTCGTCGTCGTCGTCGTCTCTACTGCTCATGCGACAGCTGTACGCTTGGGTGAGAGAAGTGTCAAGGTGTCAAGGTGGTCCGACGAATCGCTTAAGGTGAGTATGGTGTTCGAGAATATTAGGTACCAAGCGACATGACGACCGAGAGCGTGAATGAGTAGAGACGCAACTTATATATAGTGGTGTGGTGGTGGTCATCTGAGTAGCTTCACTAACAAAGTTCACTTCACACGCACGTGATAGCTCGGCATCAGTTCAGTTCCGCACAGACCGCCGATATATGCTTGGGTGTGGGTTTGGGTGAGGGGCTTCTGATATCTGCCATGACACGAGCATCCATCTAACGAAAAATGCCGGTACCCTTGATAGGTACATTGTTCAACTCTCCTGTGCCATACTGCATAGCCTCACTCAAGACCCATTTCAATACTTCGGCCACGTCCGATCAACCTCCTCCCTCCACGCCCCAAACCCACCCCTGATATCCCTCACCCTCACCCCCATACTTCCACCCCATCTACCATCCACTTCCCCATCCCCCTCTAATCCATCAGCATACCCACCCCCAAACCTCTCCCTCACAGCCCTAACCACCATCTGCGAATCCTCCCCCCGCCGACAAATCACAAACCGCTCCCTCCCATCCTCGTACTCACTCAGCACGCCCATGTCGATCGCCTGCTGTACCCATGCCTCTCCGGATCCATTCCCGCCACCGTTCCAGGGGATATTCGTACTACCTCGTAAAGCGCAGATGGAGTATTGAGTACTATCCCGCACATCGATGAGGATATTGCTGCCGTCTGTCGGCAAGCGGGCAAAGTCTCGGGCTGTTATCCGGGCTGAGGAGGGGAGGAAGCTGAGTGGTGAGGTGGTGGTGGTGGTGGTGCCGCAGAAGGCCGTGTAATCTGTCAAGCCGCTTGCTAAGCTGTGGTGGGTTATCGTTGCTTGGAGGGAACAGGCCGCACAGTCGTTCCTTCGTGACCGGAGCCGGACAGAGCGGAATTGCGGACGACTGTAGGCGGAGAAAAGGAGCATGGTCGGCTTGACCTCTTCTGCAGAAGCAGGTGGGCTGCCGTCCAGCGTCATATCCATCCAGTCCGGCATCGACGGCTCGGGTTTGGCAGTAATGAGCTTGATCGCTTCGAGCGCTTGCAGCACGCCCATGACGCCTACCACGGGCCCGAGGATCCCGCCTTCGCTACAGCTTTGGATGGTCTCGGCTGGTGGGGGTCGTGGGAAGACGCAGCGGTAGCAGGGACCTCCTGTTGTGTCGCCGGGACTTCGCGGTGGGTTGTTCAGGACCAGGAGCTGGCCTTCGGTCTTCAAGGCTGAGGCTGATACGAGTGGTTTGCCGGTTAGGATGCAGGTATCGGAGATTAAGTACCGGGAGGTCGGGTGGTCGGTGCAGTCGAGTACTATATCGTAGCGCTCGAAGATTGACCCGGCTTTCTCGGGCGATAGGTGGGCGCGGTAAGGGGCGTACTTGACGTTTGGGTTGAGCCTACACCATACAATCAACATACATCTTTCTTGTGATCGTGGTGGAAGGATTGTTTCGTTACACACGCCTGCAAATACTCCAACGCACTATCCACCTTCAACTTCCCCACCGTCTTCTTCTTATGCAGGATCTGCCGATGCAAATTCGACACTTCCACCGTATCCCCATCTACCAACCCCAGCGTCCCCACCCCGGCTCCGGCAAGATACGCAGCAGCCGGACATCCTAATCCACCTAACCCTACAATCAAAACCTTGGCATTCTGCAGCCGCAGCTGGCCGTGTAGGCCTATCTCCGGCATGATCATCTGGCGTCCGTAACGCTTATACTCCTCATCCCGCAATGGCCACCGTCGCTGCTTGGCTACGGCTTCCCTTGCATCTAGCGTTGGTGGTGGGGTGGGTGGCGATGGTGCTCCTTCAAACCCGCCATCTTGTCGTAGTTTTGTGGCGATATCTGCTACCGCTTCGTCGTCGAGTGCTCCCAATGTCTCTTCTATCCATTCCGCTGGGAATCCGCCTTGGTATGCTTCTTGCAGTTGCCGCGCGCTTTCGCCGGCTTGTTCGGCTTGCTGGAGTTGGGCGCGGAGGGTGCGGAGTTGGGATTCGGTTGCTGTGACTTGGTCGCGCAGGCGCCGGATGTGGTCGTCCGTCGAGGTTAGCATGTCCATGTCCATGTCCATGGTTGAATAATAATGTAGTGAGCATGGGCGGATTATTATTAATATTGAGCATGGATGTTGCTGTACTGTAAATGTACTGTATGTTGTGGACCGAGGTGGGGCTTTCTCGAAGGATGCATGCATGTGATACCAGGGTCACGGACAGGGCTGCATGGGCCAGACTTTGATCGACCACGACTCGAGATCATTTCGATATTGTATGAATTATGTACAGGAAGTTTGTGTAGGCTCTGCTCATCATCGCAAGGCATAGTCGCCCTCACTACTCCGCCCGCCTTCACTCCTCGCATCATGCACTAGCCGCCGATACGGCGTACTCCTCCTCCCCATCATCCGGGCCCATAATGCCCAGGGATCCGACCAAACTTGTCGTAGCTGCTCACGATACGGCAAGTCATCGTCCCGCTTACTCACATATTCATTGTCGATCACCACTGTCCGCCGCTTTCTCAAACCACGACACGCCCATAACGCTAGTAAGGAGCTGCCGAGTGCCAACACCATCCACATGAGGAGGACTTGCAGGTCTTCAAACGTATCGTCCATTTCTTCTGTTCCGTCGGCCTCTTCGTCGTCTTCTAGGTCGTCGTAAGGACTGTCGGGAAGGGTCATGTCCAAGGGTTCGTCCGATGGGACTGTTGCTACGTAACCAATATCGATGGCGTCGGAGATCGCTAGTGGTCGGCCTCTCGCATCGAGTGCTGTCGCTTGTACGTACTGTCGCACGAGCATGCCGGCTGTCAAGTCTACTGCTGTCTCGAAACCATCTCGGCGTACTTGGACCAGTTCGTGGAAAGTCTCGTTATCGAGTGACGAGTGCTGGATCAGCCATTCCGTGGTCTCTGTCGAACCAAGCCACGAGATGTAGAATATGCCATCCTGGATCGCCACTTTCGGCTGCGTGGTTGGCATACCAGTCCAGTTGAACTTGAGATTCCGATAGCTCTGCACATCGCCACTAGTCCATCTCTTAGATGGCTCAAAGTACGCATCGCAGAGCACAGTTCCATCCGGCGAGTACTCGGTCACGACTCCATTGTTGCCATATCCTATTAGAACATTGCCGTTCGGAAGTGTTTGGTATGAGCCTTGCGAAACACTATACACGTTTGGATCGTGTAAGAATCGCTGTCCAACTTTGGCAGTCATGGCATCGAGGTCCAGATCTATGCGAATACCGTATGATCGCTTCTCGGTATGGTAAGACCAGTCGGCTCGGTTGTCGAAGAAAGATAGGGAAGTGTAGTTGCTGTTGGGCACCCAGTGTGCATCGTGCTGGCCGATGAACTTTGTCGCCATGCCAAAGGACAGATCGGCGAAGCTGTTACTCCTTCCTCCCAGCTGCCAAAGCACGTCACCGGTCTTGCCGTCGATATATGCAATTGTTCGCAGATGACGGGCAGAGATGAGGTAGTTGCCTCTGTTATCTTTCTCCACGCTGTTGATGTGGAACCAATCCCAGCTCTCCTCCTCCGTCGCGCTCTTCATGGGATCATAGCTGGCTGTGTACTCGAAGTGCTCACTCGCTCGCCATTCGAATAGCAGCTCGCCGGTCTCGATGTCTATCTCTTGGAACATGGACTCCCATATCCATCCATCCGGTGGACCAAGTGGTGGAGGCACCCGGGCAGGTTGGGCAGGCGCTGGATGGTTGCTGGGCTCTATGTACGCCGGTACTGTGGAAAGGTCCACCTGGGTGACTTTGTACACGGAGAGCAGGGCCGTGTCATCCGCTGTAATGGTGAAGGCGTGTAGATCTGTTGGTAGATCGTTCGCTGCGATGATCGAGCGATAAATGTGGTAATGCTTATCAAGCTGTACCATAAATTAGACAGGTCACGCTGGGCTAATGGCGAGTCGTGCGACGTACCATGTAATACTGTCCAACACCATGCCCCCCAACAGAGTTATCGCCCGCCCAGAATGTCAAGTACTGCTCGCCTTTGTATGTCTGTGCTTGCAGATTGTACGCCTGGCCATGATACTGATGCGTCGTCCAGATCAAGCTACCAGTGGCGTCCAGAATGCAAACCGAGGAATTGGCCGTTTCGCCTCTGGGTGCCAGAAAAATGTATGAACCATCGTCGCACGCCGTGAAAGGTTTCATAAAATTCAGCTTAGGTGCTGTGACATCGGTCGAGACAAACGAGTTGGTGACATAAGGACCCAGGACACCATAGTTGTACTCGTTGCTCTGCTGCAGTGCTTCATTGTGCGCCTCGCAGTCCGGAATGAAGGTCATCAGCAAGAAAGCCAGACAGCCCAGAAATGCTTGCCATGCTGCGATACGAGAGCCCATTGCACGGCATCACCCAATATAGTAGGCACACTTCATACAACCATTTTTCAAAAGCAAAGTGGACATGAGATGGATGAGGAAACGACCTACACGTGGGCTCTTGCCCTCTTTGTCATCAAAGGAAAGGAGCTGACGACGCATATCGCATCGCATGATCCCGGCCTGCTGTTTTGCAGAGTTATTTGCGCTGCACGAGGAGCCGATATCCGGTGTAAGAGAGACAGGAGGGAGTTGTTACTGATAAGCCGTGCATTTGCTGTTGGCTGCATCTCGCTTAGCGCCTGCATGGTCTTGGCTAAAAGCTTCGCAAGGCTTAATTGCGGGGCTAGCACTGGAATCTGGAATCTGGAATCTGGCAGTAATAAAGGACGCATCCCTTTCCTACAGTACGTTACACTAGCAATCACCGGGTACTCATGCCGTGTCGTGTCTATCAGCCTTGCGTGCCATGTTGGAGTGCGCAGGGTCGAGCCGAGAGGACGCAATCAGCTGGGTGGTGGGTCCGACCTGTAATAACCACGCAATAGTTGTCACTACATGGTTGCTCCGTGGTTATCGTCCCTCAAGTTCGAACGCAAATAGGCGCATGTGGGGCGTAGGGAGTCGAGAAGAGATAATGAATAATACCCACCACGCGACGGGTTGCCGCTACAGTGTCAGTGCTTCGACGGATGAAGCTTCGTGGCGCTAAACTCAAGATTTACTGCAAGGGTTGCAACGGCCACGGGGTAGAACTCACCACGATTGTTGATAAAGGAGAGGAATCATGGATCGAGACGATAGCCTACTCAATGCTGTTCGCCTAATCTCAAGTATGCTACTACTGCTCGGAGGACACCCACTACATACCATTCAACGCCCTCACAACTTTGCAGATATCTTACCAACGCCCAAGTCCGCCGTGGAAGTCTTGGCACCCTCGCAGCACTTGTTCAGGTCCTTGGAAGCGGTATCAGGATCATGACTAGCAGGCGGAACCCAAAGCGCCGGATTCTTTTGGAAGAAATTGCTGGCTCGCAGCATCACGCTCAGCGGCTCTGCTGGCATCAGTGGGAAGTCTTCGGTGCGTGGGAAGTGAGTGATGCCGAATTGGAGCCAGCAGACGATGTCCTCGTTCTCGATGTTGTCGTTGCGCTCGGCCCAGTCGACGACTGTTTCGTTCGAAGGCCAGCCTGGTTGTCCGGTGGATTGGCAGACGTAGTCGCCTGCTGGGAAGAGTTCGCCTTCGCGGTATTTCGTCACCCACAGGGTCTTGCGGGTGAAGCCTGCGCGGCGCCAGACAAGACTGCCGGGCTTGCAGAGGAGGTTTGGCGACTCTCTGCTAATGATCTTGTATCCGACCGGCTTTTGGCAGGCAGGGTTGATCTTGTTGGTATTGACGATATCCCACGTGCGACTGGTATCGTGGTTATAGTCACAGGCGCCTTCTTTACTGGTCTTCAAGGGCGTCTTCTTGCAGTAGAAGGCATTTCCATACAAGTTCCCTGTATCGCCAACAGGGATCTCGGAGCTCACTGCATCGTTCTGGATGACAGTATTCTTCAATCCATCGATGGCCGGGTCGATCCGAAGGGAGAAGATGTGCTGGTGATTGTGCGCATTCAGGTTCTTGGCGACTCTCGTGCCGAATGGAGCTGCTTCTTCAGTCTCCGTCAGAGGTACAGTGTTCAGGATACCGGTCAGCTTGACCTCCAACTTGTAGGTGCCGTCCAGCGAGAAGGTATGGTAGAAGCCGTACTCGTAGTTGGCGGCTGTGATGATTTGTGAGATGATGAGCTTTCGATCTCTAGCACTAACGACAGTCCCGTCGCGGTAGTCGGTGTGCTTGTAGAGCAGCCCGTTGTCTTCTTCGTGGATACAGACGGCATTGGGCAGCACCGCGGCATAGCCTTGACTCGTGCTCATGACAGCATCCAGATATTTGATCGCTCCCTTACAGTCGCAGCCAACCTTCAGTGGGTTAGTCATCAACCCCATACCATACTCGCCAATGTCGAAGGCATGTTTGCGGTGGTGCGGGATGTCCGGGTTCCCGTATGGTACGACCATCTCAGCAACGCTAAGACGATTGAACAGCATGCGTCTACGCTGCTCGTACATGTCGTCGACCGAGACGTCGTTGATCACAATACCCTCACGATAGTTGAAGCCGATATGCATATGAAAGCCAGCCCAGGACAACTCATTACCGTTCATGGTGAAGGACACGCCTTGAGGCTGTGTGATCTCAATCGGCTTGAGACGATCAGTCACATATCCGTCCTGGATGAAGTCCGGAAGGAAGTTGTGCTGATCTTTTGGGACCGCCACTCTCTTCCCGTCCACTTTGCGGATGTCGATTCTCAACACTTCTTCCTTCTCGGTGTCGATGACGACGGCAAAGTCTAGAGGATGAGCATACTGGTTGTCGAGCTCCGAGGCACGCCAATAAGCGAGGCCCTGCTGCAAACGACGATCGAAGCCATACCGCTCATCGGCACCGACAGCCCAGCCATCGAAGAAGACTTTGCTCATGTCTGTCAGACCAATCTCGCGGCAAGTCTCAATGACACGAGGATCATTGCGTGCGACACGTTCGCATACATCCAGATCCTCGAGTGTGAGGATCGGCATGACATCGGCAATCTCGCGGACTTCGAGGACGGTCTTCTTGGTGAGACTGACCATGACTTCGTTGACGACGTGGTGGCCTTTAGTCACGGTGATGACGAAGGCCTCACGGTCCGGACGAGGACCATTGCTGTCGCGGAAAGCTACGTAATCGACTTTCTTCGGTTCCTTGAGAGTGATCGTATTGAACTTTACCCCGGTGTTACCATAGTGACCTTTGACAATGCTGGCCGCATCTGTGATCTCTGTGATCGAGAGCTGGTCTAGTTGATGTCTGTCAGCCTTGAGTCCTGTTCGTACGAGTTCTCAGTGCTTACCGAGCGGATGCACTGCTGTGCTGGTCGAGTTTCTGGTCGAACGACCATAGTCCGCCGCAGCTTGAGGCGTATAGACTTCATAGCCGGCAATGATCTCGGTGTCTGGACCCATGACGTCGATTGTTATGATGGATAGTACGGAATTGTGGCGGAAGAGGTTGAGTATTGGGAGTTTCGTCTGTGTACGTACGCGTGAGATGCTGTGGAGAAATGACCAAGAAGAACTTGGGTGCAGTACCATGATATACAGAGTCTCTTGTGCTTTTGTGAGATCGCATAGACATTCCGCTTTCGGCCTACCTCTTCTCCACTCCACAAAGCTCCACATCTTCCAGGCTTCACCAAGTGTGGAGTTCCGATTGCACGACAGCCTCATCTTTTGATCATTTGCCTTTGGGATAGATTATGCCTCTTGCTAGCGATGACTGCTTATCAGCAATGGCATCGCTATGCAGTAGTTGCGGGTCTCGCTGCTCCCTACAATTTGTCAATACTAATCAATTCAGGCCCACCAGATAGCAGGGCGACACCATACTCTGCCAAGGACGAATACTATCTGCATCGAAGTATCTCGGCTACTACGGCTACGTTCGTCGTAGTGTGGATTAGCAACTGACTTGTACCGAAACCCTCGTGGAGGTCGTGTGGGATGTTTCTACAGCATATATCACGCTGATGAGGTAATAAACGTGTCCTGGTCGTGACTGTATGTTTACCTCCTTAGGCCACACAGCGCATAAGCGCGTCAAGGACTGAGTCCAGACCTCCGTTTTGTTGACGACTCATCATGCTAGGGACTCAGTTGGTGCCTCCCATTGTTCTCCACTGTGCTATGACATCCTCACCTCCAATGAATCACGAATGTCGGGAATGCCGCCTGTGAATGGCTATATGAAAAGACGTCAATGATATAAGGTCATGGGAATGGCAAGAGACAGCCCCGACCAAGTAAACGTTACGATTACATATCAGTCGCTATGGACAGATCACGTCTCAGCAGACCCAGCGACACTGGGAGCGTGGTGATGCATCGACTCCGTACTTCCATGATGCTCGGCAATTGATCCGTTCCTCGAAGTGGTGTACAGCTCGTCATCAGGCATCCTCGTCTCCCGTCTGTCTGTGCGATAACCACCCAAAGCGCCGTTGGTACAATGCTTCCCATGGATGGTGGTGAAGCCACCTACCGACGATGATGAAGGAGCGTTCGCCGCGAAGACGGTAGTGTCGGTCTGACTCCGCCTGAGAGCACTGGCTGCATCATGAAATTGTCCCACGGGGTTCCTAGTCAAGGCGTTGCCAAGGCTGCTGATATCTTCAGCGTCGTCTAACAACTTGGTATCGCTCTGTCAGCGGGAAATGGTTGTGCCGTTGGATGCATGTCCATTGATTGCTCCCGGTTCGGGAGTTGTGCTCTGCGCCAACTCCGCTTTCGTCCTTTCCCTGGAGGCAGCTTCTTGTATGGAGATTAAGATGTCTTCTGACTTCTTCAGCTCCTGCTGCAGCCGCTCGATATACTCTTTCTGTTGGCTTGTCTTCGCTCATTCCACCTCCAACTCCAGTATCAGAGGTTTCATGTTCATATCCGCATGGTCCTTGTCGGTGTCCTGCTGTTGGCACCTTGCAAGGACCATTTGGACTTGCTCCTCCAGCTTGCTACGCTCTATCTGCGCGGCTTCTGCTTGCTTGCTCGCCGCAGTGCTCAACTCGGACACCAGTGCCAGTGCAGTCGTCTTCTCCTCCAGTCGCGCAGTATAACCAGTGCGTTGCCTCAATGCGTCATTGGTCTCACGCTGTTCGGTCAACAAAGCACGGAGCTTGACAACAGAGCCGTTAGCAAGGTTGGCTTGGCCCCTAGCAGCCCTGACTTGGTTGGATAGTGCCGTGCGCTCATTCTGTGCATCCCGCAGCTGATGCTCCATAGAAGCATATGCCTCGCCGTGAAAGTCGCTCTCCGACATGAGTGTCTCTTTCTCGTGCTTGTGAAATTCGACACCACGCTTGGCAAGAACCCGCTCTTCGTGTGCTTCAGCCAGACGAGCCATGAGAGTTTCAATTTCTGCATCGCGCTTCTTCAACGTCGCCTGGGAATGGATGGCTGTCATGGTCAGTACTCAGCGTGAAATTTCCAGTACATCTACGAGTAGGACTTACCTCCATTTCGGTAGTCGATAGTGTCACCCATTCTTGCTGCCAGCACGTTTTCGCAGTCTGCGTGATGCTCGTTTGCTGCCACTTGAGACGCCAGACCGCGATGAGGACTCCGATATGTAACGTCTGCACCTTGATCGCAGAGGTGTTCGACGCACTCTCGGTCTCCTTTCCACGCTGCCATTATTAGTGCTGTATCGCCCAAGTTGTCTTTGGCATTGATGTCAGCTCCCTTCTGCAGCAGCAGTCTCACAGCCTCAACCGACATGTTGGCAGCAGCGAATATCAATGGTGTACCCTGGCTTTCACCGCCGTGTACGTTCGGTTCTGTCCCAGGAGCTGCAAGCAGAAGCTTCAAGATTTCCAACTTGGCATCCTGAGTAACAACGACGAGGGGCCTGCTCAGTATGCGACCACTCAGATTGGAATCTGCGCCTCGTCTGAGTAGGGTATCCACGACCTCTAAGCGGCCGTACTCGCAGGCGGCTTGGAGGGCAGTGCCGCTGGAGAAGTTGAGGTCATCGCTGTCAGGTACTTTTCTGTCTATGGCCGCATAGTGGTCGAGCAGCATGTTGACAACGTCAATATATCCACTGCGAGCAGCCAATTGTAGTGCATAGTTGGAGGCGCCGTCCATTTTGGCACCTCGCCGGATGAGATTTTCTGCCAGGATGAGGTTGCCACTTCCTGCCGCCGCGTTGAGAATTGTGATGTAGTTTCTGCCAGATATAGAGCTTGACTTTTGCGAAACGATAGTGCTTGGTCGACTGGATGAAGCATTTGGGCTGGCACTACAAACCTCCAGTAGCCAGGTCACAGTCCTCGTTTTACGAAGTGCTGTCGCTTGGTACGCCGCATAGTCTTTCGTGCCTTGCGATGTATCATGTTGAGTGAGGTGCCAGATCTGTCCCAGCACGTCTAACTGCTCCTCACGACTCACAGCAGCCAGATAGAATGTATCCTCGAGTTCGGTCTCTCGCCACGCACCATTGACGTTGTCATTGATGACATAACCAAGAAGTTCGCGTGTCACCACCCACTTGTTCTCCACCGCAGCGGATAGTATGGCTGTTTGCAGCATAGTGCTCGTGTAGGCGTGCGCAAATTTGAGAAGGATTCGGATACTCTCAAGCGGTCCACCAGCGGAAGCTGCGATGATGGCCTGGTCAAGCAGCTTGCCATTCTGGAGCCACTTCTCCTTGCCCGTCTCAAGGATGTCCCGAAATAGGCTCGGCTCGGACCTCCCAGCAGAAAGCGATAGCGGAGGCGGGCAGGTAACGCAGTCCACGACGAAGTGCACGTCTGCGCTCATAACGTGCTTCACGGTTTCAAAGCATCCGGACAGGATAGCGGCATTGATCACTGGACCAACATCGTGGCCAAATGCATTGATGTTTGCGCCTCTAGCAATGAGCATCCCGACCGTGTGGACTCGGCCGTGCAGCGCCGCCATGTGGAGTGGAGTTCCTGCTGACCCATCGCCGGCTTCAATGTCTGCACCAGCTCTGATAAGCGCCTCAACGACACTGGCTCGATCATTCAATGCCGCGACGTGGAGCTAGAATAGTCAGCAAATGTGGGACGGGCTAGGAACCTAGCACCTACCGCGGTCAGTCCTTGGGGATTCGTCCAAGCTAGTGCGGTTGCACCATTACGATCGACGAGCATTGAGACCAATTCATTCGCACCTATGCCGGCGGCGATGTGTAACGCAGACATACCGCTGGTGTCGATATCCTTGAGATCAGTAGTCAGCGTCCGGAAGTCAGTCAGCCATGTATCTCGAAGGCTGCTTCGGAACCCCCAGAAATCAGGATCGTCTTCGCAGAGTGTCTGGGCGGCGTCGGGCGAGCCTTCACCCAGATGTCGAATGAGGTACTTGATAGGGTACGAGCAAGCGTGTGAGGAGGTCAGCAGTGAACCTTCGTCTCCATCGTCGAACTCATCATCCTCGTTCGTGACCACAAGCACACTGGCATCATCGGTGGCGCGAGTTGTCATGGCCGGACGCCGATGCGGTGCTGCTTCTGGTCCTTCTTCCAAATCTGATGATCCGTAACGAGTCTGTATGTACTCGAAACACAATAGTGCCATCCTTCCATGGTACTCACGAATCCTCGGGCTCATCGAGCCTTCGTGCCCATCTGCTTCGACGAAAAGTCTTTCCCTGAAGGCAGTGTGACCGAAGGCTACCTTGTCCTTTTCAGCGCTAGTGTCTGCGAATCGGAGGACAGGCGAACATCTTTTGACTAGAGCAGCTAGCTCGTGAAGGTCTTCGACAGCCATGAGAACAGAAAGTTCGCACAGTGTCGGTGGCTCGTAAACGATAGTCATAACTTGCAGGAGTTGTTCAATCTTCAATCTGATTTCTTCGTCCTGCGTAAGTATCTGTGGATGATCAGTACAGGATTTTTGCGAAGTACTGGGGAGAGAGAGATACCTGCTGCCAGGCATGCCCAATCAGTCCATAAACATTGAGCTTGCCCACTTCTCTCAACCACTTCTCGATAGAAAGATTGCTCGTGCCACTTGGTTACTCGTCAAGCAAGAGACAAAGAACTTCAATCCACCGCTCATCTTGTCCTTGGCTATCGAGTGAGCTCTGCACAGAAAAGCCCAAGGCTGCAGTCCAGTTCTTTCGTGCTTTCAACCACCGATTACTATCTCGGACATGGTTCTTGCGGGCTTTTGTGCGCTCGCTTTCATACTCCTTGTCTTCCAAGTCGATCATGTATATCTGCTCAAGACTGAGAGAAGCGTCGCGGATGTGCTTCTCGTTTCTACTCGTGATGAGCCACTTCGTGCGGTGAGGTCGGAGAGGCGGACTGTGTTGTGCAATTGCATCTTCACGAAGCTTGCCAAGCAATGTCATTGTTGAATCGCCTGCCTCCATACAATGAATTTATTCAGGACCAAGTGCGCGCTGTTCGCTACTGGATCCTCCAGCATGTCTTGCAAGCACTTCCACAGATTATCAATGTTGTTGCTTGGGCACTGGCGATGCTGCCGTCACTCACCATGAATGTCTCGCTAGCTGAGGTTGCATTTCGATATCGTTGGCTCGACACAAACCACTTGCCATGCTGTGCCAAGGATTCTTCCTGGTTGACAAGTTGTGTTATCAAAGACTTCAGGTCGTCCTCCGCGGTACAAAAGCCGGGTGGTCTCTCGCAGAGAAAGAATCCCAAGAAGTCACCTCTCGAGCCCCGATCGAGCGTGGCCTGTACCTCGCTGCTGTTGGACTTGCTGATCTGTTGTATGGCAGCAAGACTGGCGTTGGTCTTGCCAAAGCCGGCTCCCTGGCATTCATGGTTGCAGTTTGCGCCATCTTCAAGAATGGAGCTTTGACACGGACGACATTCTCCGAAGTCACGCTTTCGAAGCGGATGAGATCTCGATGGGTGGCGGCGAGGCTGACACTGTGCGCGCCATCGATCTCGGCAGATTCTTTTGACACTACATGCTTCATTTGGTCTCAGTCTTGCACTGTCCATAACCAGGTGGACACCGCTTACCGTGCCGGCACCCAACTTTCGCAAGGTGACATTTGTTACAGCGCGAGCGCCAGTAGCGAAGTATTTGTGCTGCCCCAACTTGCCGAGCTTCTGGGCTATGTCTGTCGAGTAGGCAACGTCGGAGCTCACCTGCTCCCAGAAGCAGTATACCTCGATGGCTGGTATAAGCTTGTTGCAGAACTCCACGAAATCTTCTCTCACCTCCTCGAGGACGTCATTCTTCTCTGCCTTCATGAAGGTGAGCAGAGCCTCGTAAGCATCGCTGCCAAAGACGGAGCTGTACATCAACGCGATCCGCGCCATCTCTGTGCCTCGAAACGGAACTTCGAAGAACAGGCAGCCCATGGTGCAAGTTGCGATGGCTTCGTACTACTTCTTACCCTTTGCGATGCAAAGGGCCTAAATAGTCAGTAAGCGCCCAAGACTTGTCCAGTAGCATCACGCGTACCTTCGCCACAACGACACGACCCATACTGTGTCCAATGATGATCAGTGGTCGAGTGCTTTTTGCGCCATCCTGCTATCCATCAGTACTGGATCAAAGCAACTCGAAAGCACTAGTTCGAGCATACCTTCCGCTTCTCCACCAGATCATCGAGGAGTGCAGTACAGATACTCTTCATGGTTGCTCGCACTTTGAATCTCCCTCTCCATGCCGAAGCGTAGTCACAGAGCAGAATCCGGGACTTGGGGAAAAGAGAGCGTAGGCCGCTCTCATCTCGTATCCAGTTGAAAGACTGTCGAGCATTGTTTCCATCGGCCGGGTCTGGCACCACATTCGACTTGGTCTGTCGTGCTTGCTTACCGCTTGACAGCGCATTCCAGGTCCAGCACTCTTCTGGATTTGCGCCAAGTCCTGGTACGGCAAGGATACTATATAGCCGTCAGTATGGCACTCCTACGTTGCGGTATAGTAGGACGTACTCCACCTCCGCGTATGGATCTTCGTGGAATGTTCTGATGCCTTGCCCAAGTTCCCGATACGCTGTCACTTTGTGCGGCTTCTCTGAATCCCGTTGAGGTCCCATGGCCAAGGTTGCAAAGTTCGCGGCGATTACGGTGCAGTATGAGTGTCAGTATGGATGTTATTAGGTAGCTCAGTGGAAGCAGCTACGACTCCAGACTGTGCAATCATGGCGAGGACTTTTTTCCCAACAGTCGGTGATAACGAGCCTTGTGCAGGCAATACGGACTTATCTGTGCGGTGCGACACAGTTCCTCCCTTGTACCCCTTGTGTTTACTGACTGCGCGACCCAGCCTTGTCATAGCCTTGCTGCGACAGCCTTTGTGCAGCCTTGCCTCAGCCTTGCCTGTACCTGATCCGGACACAGTTCCCACCGATCGGCGGAGACGTGCATGCACTATTGACGCGGTGCATTGGTGGTGTCTACTTACTTCTTGTGGATGGGAGCATCCAACCGGATCAACAAGCTGGCTCTATCCCATGACACGTACAGCCTTCGTCCCTGCAAGCCAGAGCGGCTGCGACGCCAACTGACCGTCGTATTGGCCGCTTTGAGTGTACGAGCCTGTTAGTACGCCGTCGCATGGCTGCTGTGCTTAATGTGGGTGCATACGTTGGAGGTTGCCATCCTTTTGCAAAGCCATAGTTAAGATGCCGCGCGAGGCTGACACACGGACCTACAATGCAGGAAAAGGTGGCGTCCAGGTCGGCAAAACCCAGACGGGGTGCGCGGAGCTATGATGGAGTATGCCAAGTCGCACAAGGCTGGACACGAGGAATGGTCGTGGTTCAAGAGGGGAAGAGGAGTCCTGTGTTGATCTTACGGTATATCTAGCGGATGACGAGACAACATGTCCAGTACTCCGTTCATCACGAAGTCCAAGATGACGCCGAGCTATCCCCGCACGAAATCCTCACCACCGCACGCCGTTGAAAGCAAGGACCTGCCCACGAGCTTCCGGGATAATGAAAACACGTTGCGACCACCACACGAAGACTGGGACGTGTTCCTTGAGCAGGAGCTGTCGGTCCAAGGTATCGATGAAGTTTTCGACCACCTCTGGCTAGTCGGACGGCCCTATCCACCACGTTCCATCACGATTCAAAATGTTTTGGGCAGAGAGCGAGTGCCTGTCCCAGATGCTACCCTACAACTGGTCCGGGCATCAAGCAAGATATACATCAAGCCTTTACCTCGTTACCTTCTCGCCGAATCATTCTACGACCAGTATCTGACCCCCAGCTCCATGCAACGCACCGGTCCTGGTCGAGATGGACTTGGTCTACTCTTCTCATACCTGACCCTGGTACCAACGGAGACTGACTTCGATATGGCGCAAAAGGATCACTTGATGCCGTCCATTCCCAACCATTAATTGTTCAAGACCTCGTCCTCGCACACCTCGCTTCGATCAATGTGTTCGAACGTCTGATCGGCTCTCCGTTCTCGTCCATACGCATTACCAGTGCGGGGCTAATGACTGTGTCTTTGCCATGGCTCTGCCACTCGAATGCGAATGTAGTCAGCTGTGTGAACAGCTGGCTTCCTGCTGCGCTCGCCTCGACGAGGATACTTCGCAGACTGGAATCTCGATCGGCATGGTTCTTGCCTAGTAACTTCCAGGGCGAATATGCTTTTGCGAATAGCTTGACGGCCTGCTGGATGTTGGCATCCCTGACACTTCTGAAATTCTGCTGATCGGCGGGATTGCCGTACAGGAAGCCAGTTAGAACACGCCACTGTGACAGTGCTTGCGGAAAGCCTAGATTCGTTAGCGATTGCAGAGACTCATTCCGTGCTGGGTGCACCCACCTTTCCTGGATTCGACGCCCAGCATAAGTCTCTCCTCGTGAGTCTCCATGTCCCAATGAGTATGCTTTGGGATGCCCGTGAATTCTTTGGGAAGCAAGGACTGGTCAACCTCGGAGCGTAACGATATCCTGCCGACGGTCCACCTGTTCAAGACACCCTCGAGCATCTGCCCACTTTCCTGCACTTGTAAGACCGTTGCTCCTGCCGTCGACGTTGTCAAGAGCTCTGCCAGAGCAGCCAGATCAGGGCCAGAAGCTACCTCTGGTGTGTTCCGATAGTAGCCGTGAATGTGAACGCCGACATGGTTGAAAATGGCTTTGAATGCATGAATGATGCTGTCGACTCCTCGCTCGTTTGGCAGATGTTTATGCCAGGTCGAAAGATCGGAGGTTCCAACGACTGCGTGTTGTTTTCCGTTTTTGTAGGGTACCAGTGGAAACACGGTCGGAGACATCGGATCGTCGTTGCGACTCAAATTCCTGTTCTTCTGGGATCGCCGTCTAAGGCTACACCAGGCGACTAACATCCCAAGCAGAAGTCCCACGACTATACCGCTCACAGTACCTCCGACCACTTTTCCCACGACTGGTTGTCGACTGCTAGAGCTAGTTGCACTTGTAGCGGGAGACGGGGATGTTATGGCACCATTGTCCGCGAGCTCTATGACGAGACCAAACAGCGCGGTCTAGCGGTCGTGCCAGATGCTCACGATGGTCGCTTATGGGCTGAGCATGTCATCGAGTAAGTTGCCTGACAGCCCATCTACTACCGTAGCTGACGATTGCCAGCTGGTTCATACTCCGTGAGCAAGAGATCGAGGCTGCAAAAGGAGTACGCCGTCCGTACGGAGCCACCATCACAGAAGCAGAAGGCCAACAACCACGTCGTGCACAGATCGTGATGTCTAGTCTGCCAGTCGAGAAGCTGCCCGTTTCGTCAACAGATCCAGGATGCAAGCATGTCGTGACAGTCGAGTACAAGCTGACAGGAAATGACATGAAGCTCAAGAATCGTCAAATGTGGAAGATCGGCAAGAAGTACTGGCAAGCCGACTTCTTCTTCGTCGTCATGCTTGGACCAGCCGATCTTAGATTTCAGATTGAAGGCAAGCAGGGTATCCTTAGCTCACGCCATGACAGTCTGAAGGTGGAGTTCGCGGATGCAGTAACATCGTCTGCTAGGTAGCAACCAACGAAAGTCCGAGAAAGCCCCACTAGGCAAAAGTGGGTGAGTATGTTCTCAGTGGATTTGACCAAGCGCCATCCGCCGCATACTGCCACTATGTAGCCGTATTCGCTGTCATGATGACGAATGCACACTATTTTGTAGTAGTGATGAGCTGCATCTCATGCTCGATGGACGAGTTCGTTGAGAGCCACGCTCTGTCCAGGGACCGGGTCGATGCAGTCTTCGCCACCGAACCTCGTCTCACGAACCAGTACCATGCAATCAAGATGCCGAGCGCCAGACCCACAACAAGTCCACCGAATACGCCTCCGATCACTCCTCCAACCAAAATCTGATGGCTATGAGCACTAGCTACCCAAAAACTTGGCCGGTTGCCACTTCCCGTCGGTAGTGCTCTGCCACTCGAGCTGACCGTGCCAGCGATTTGTGCTGAAGTCGTGAGGTCATATGATGAAAGCGCATCGAACAGACTTTGAGCACTGATTGTGTTGACCAGTGATGTCGTGACCGGGACGAAAAGTGTCATGCCTGATGCAAAGGTGGTCAGGGTCGGCGAGGGAATGTTGAAGACTGGGGTGGCGAAATTGCCAACACTTTGCCCGTAGTAGAGCAGCACACTCGTGATTGAGGCTGTGGAAGTTGGGGTCGTACTAGCTAGGCTCGCAGCGCCGATGGACTGTTCAACGCCGATACCAAAGCTTGCAAGGTGATCGTGGCTGACGGCGTTGGTGTATAGGGAAGATATAGCTCTACCCCGTCTGTGGTGAAGGTGTAGGGTCCATTGGTGCCAGCGAACTTTGGCACAAAAGTCGGCGTTGCCGTGAGACCCCCGAATTGGTCTTCTATGAAGATGGTTGAACCTGCTGGGATGATGATTACAATGCTGGCCATGTTTGTCGTCGACCTGTTCGCGATGACTCGAGACGTGAAGCAGAAGGCTTAGAGCTTCTGAACGCAGGCTGATGGGATCGAAAGTACAGCAACGACCTGTTTGATTTCGGCCTTTCAGACCTTGTCGGGCGAGCATTGGTCCAACCATATATGCGACGCTCACCGCGCGAGCCTGACGCGTGCATGGCTACGTGCCGTGTCCATCCTCTACTAGCCAAAAACGATATCTTACCGCTAGCCCCATCGCGCCGGGCACCTTCGTCAATACGCCACCCAGGATAAGGCTGCCGTCGCTCACCAGCCTGATGCCGTGTAACCTATCATCGGATCGCCTGGTCTGACTATGCCTCTCGCGAATCACACTGTGCTGCAGACACGAGAGCGTCGTCTCAAGCGGCCGCGATAATGCCGTCTTGATGCCCGCCGCAGCCTCGCCCACACGCCCAACTCGTTGCCCTGATGAGGGGCGACGGTAGAACAGCCACACGGTACTGATAGATGGAAACGTCGTCGCCGTCTAGCACTCTCCAAAGAAAGTGCGATTTTGATGAAGGAAACTGATATACTGATGGTGTTGATCGAGCTACTCAGACGATGGAGATGTACAAGTGAGCGGCGTAATGTCAAGCGTTCAGTCCTGTGCCTGAGGCATATACTCCATCAACATTCCATTCCACACTACTCTCCACCACTCACTCACCCTTCCATCAACGGAAGAGTGGTCATTCATGCATGGGTCACTACTCCCTGACTGAGCGTCTGCCTCATGCCCTTCGATGGTGACGCAACACGTGGTGAGGAGCGTTTCGAATTAGAGTTCTACAGGAACATAATTGTTCTTTCCGCTTTTTGCTAACAGCTCTCCACCTAATCGATATGCTACCGGCCAACTCATCGCGCTTATAGCGAGTAATCCTCCGGCGCCTTCGACAAGACTCTCTCCACATTCAGCACTGTTGCCGAAAATGGCAGATCCTCACCATCCATGATCCCATTGAAAGTATCACCACCGTAGATCAAGAGATGATCCTGTCTGCTGGCGAAAATCTCAATGGCTCGGCTGTAGACAGCCCCGGCCGGCGTTCCGTGCTCTTCCCAGGCGTCTATTGCACCGCCCTGCTGGTTCGAGAAGACTGAGCGATGGTCGTTGTCGGACACGAAGATGGTGCCATACTTGGAGCCCTTTGGTTCCGGCGTCCACACGACGTATGGAGAAGAGCTTGGTGCGGTGGTGCCATTGACAAGGAGTGGCATATCTGGCGATGCGCCAAAATCGCGTGGATCCTTTGCGAGCTTGTAGAAGACCGGATACTGGACACCGTGGCTGTATTGGACACTGCCGTTCGTGAGGACAACTGGGTTTTCGTGGACGAGCATCCACTGGTCGATTGGCTCGATGTAGGCTACGATTGTCATGCCTGGCCGTGCGAGGTAATTGTCGTATGCAACGTCGTTGACCACTGGGCCCCAGGTCTTGAGGTCCTGTGAGTAGTGTCAGCTAGTGTTCGCTACAGCACAAGATGTGAGTCCGTACTGTCGTCACCTGATGCGCTAGTTTTTGCCCATGCAGTGGGTCACGCTGGTCGGAGTAGAAAGCAATAACCTCGCCGTCATAAGGTCTGCCGATGGTCAGTAAGTTATCGCTCAAGAGGAGTCACGTCTGAGCCATCTTACAGGAAGTAGGGTTCCCACTAGAAGGCACACACATTAGCATACTGATCTCGGTGTCCACATCAGGACCTGACTCACCACAGGCGTCGCGCCATTGGTAGTATTGGGCGGCCCACCCTTCGCAACATGGCTCACAAACTCCCACGATCTGCCCTTATCCAGACTGGCATAGAGATCGATATTCGTGCTGGTATTGCCCCACGAGTTGCCTCCACCTAGGATCGTGCCCTTCTTGTACGAGCCAAGGTCAAAGGTAAGCTCATGGAGCGCAGGCTGTGCGGTGAACCCGAGCCCGTTGACTTGATCTGTTAGGTTCGAGATCCAGGTCCAGCTAGCACCTCCGTCCGTGCTTTCGAAGATTGGGAAGTAGTCTGGTTGGGGCCCTGAGAGGGACGAAGTGGCAAGGATGGTTCCGTCTTGGAGTTCGGCGTAGCGAGGGTAGAAGAGCCCGAAGTTTGGGGCGAAGATGGTAGAGTTCACGAAGTAGCTCCATGGCTGTGGTACAGTGGGCGACACTGTGGGCTTGCCCGGGCCTGGTGGGGAGGGTGGTGGTGGTGCTGGCGCAGGACCGTGGTGCCATCCGCCGGGAGGGCCTGATGGGCCCCAAGCGGGAAGGTTAGGTGGGCCCCAGCTTGGAGAGCCTTGGTGTGGCCCTAACCCTGCTGGTCCCCATGGAGCAGCTTCAGCGGCCACAGTAAGCAGAGCGGTAGTGAAAAGTGTGGACAACATCGCGATGAAGTGGGAGTCGTCTTGTGGGAGACCCAAAAAAAGCCCTGCATAGAGGGAATGACAGAGAGACCGCCTACCTTATATCGCTTTTCACCACTGAGCTTGACATCAGACTGCGGCTTTCAGTCCAATCCTCCAATACTGTTGCTCATAATCTCTGTTTAGCCTATAGCCCCAGCCTATGCCATGTGCCTCTAGCCTACCATGTTTTTCCCCGCTCAATCATGAAAGCCCCGCAAAGATGTGCATCCTGCGATACCACTTCAGCATACCGCTCTCTAGGGACTGTGTTCGGCACGGCATGCAAGTTGATGCTTGATTTGCTTGGACGGCATAACGAGAGGCTTTGCTGTCTTGGCAACATCTTCAAGCGTATGCTTGCATTTAGCCGCGGTAGGTTTACGAGCTTACACCATATGCACGTCCAACGTGCGCACGTCATGACGGAAGATTATATTAAGGTGGGCAGTCGGCATTGGGTTGCCGAAGCCGTTCGCATGTTCTAGAAAAATGAGACAATCTTTGGCAAGGATGGCGTGAGGTGGGCAGCATGATAGAGTAGATTGAAGTATGATGCTCTGCGTGATTTCAAGCCATGATGCCGACATGATTCCGAAAAATATCCTCAGTCGCTACCGTGTTGTCAGAGACAGAGAACGATTGTGTATGACCCAACCGTATGCACACTCCTGCACGAACCACAACCACTCGGGGCGCCGGACCTTCAGCGCAGTGCGCCCAGAAAATCATTAGCTCCTAAGTCGCAGTAGTCCATGATAAGGGGCCGACTTTTGCTATGAAGCTTGAACTTGCTAATAATCAAACATCGACCACGCCCCACCAAGTATTGTACAGCAAGCAATTACTATATATGTCACGATGTCTATGACAGGTCCGAGTCGTAGTACTATCTGAAGCAGGGCTGGAGGCACTTCGATGTATCAAGCACAGTCAAGGTCCCCGCGGCTAGGTAGTGTGCATGTGACCTGGGGCTCCAGTTCTCTTCGTGGTTGAGCTCTTCGGTCTGTCTGGGCTAGCAGCAGGGACACTGTTCCTACTCGCCTATGCTGGGGTGATCATGGCTGAGAAGGCACACTGGTGGTGAATGGTACGGACTATGACACCGATGCCGTTTCCATCTATCCAAGCTACTGTGAACACCCGCGCTGTAGCTTCGCAGTGATGGCTCAAGATCCTCTCTTCTCGTTCAGTTTCTCAGGATCAGCTTCTGCCGGATAAGTGTGGAGATCCGCAGTATTTATCCCTAGACTACAAGTTGTGCCATATGCAGAGCTTCCGAGGGGTGCCTAAGTAAGCCGTACGAGAGGACCTAATGGAGGTGCTGTCGCGAAAGCAAGGCCCAATGTTGTGGGTGGGTGTTGCAACCGGACTTTATCTACATGAGCGAGAACAACACCAGAGAAGCCGCGTCTTGCCGTGGGAAGCTTTGTCTTCACTCAAAATGCCGATAGGACATGTCTTGATCGTTCTAGAGCTTCGCCTCTGGTTGGTGTGGGGCCATCATCCTGTGTGATCCTCTTTGGTCTAGGTCGGCCTCTCGAATGGCATAGAAGACCCTCACGGCAGGGCTCTAGGATTACCTGAGTCCACAGTGCCCTTGTGATGGCCTACGGTTTTATAGAACAGAGTAGCGACGGCGGAGAGTGGAGGGAGAAAAGAAGAGAGCAAGGGATGATGTGAGGATTTGCGCTTGTCCGGATCGAGGGCTCAGCCACATCGGACGATACTGCCTCTTCACTTCACTTACATCCAGCTATTTAGCGCTTCGGACAAAGCCACGACTATCGAGTCTTGCATCAAGCACTGGTCCCCGAGCAGGCAAGAGTCCTGTGGACTAGCGCCTATATCAGCCTAGACCACAGGTAATTCAAAGTGCAGCATATTTACCAAGATTGATACTAGGCGACTGCCTTAACGATGTCAGCCAACACCGCCAACAATGGAGAATCTTTCGACCCTTCAGGCTTTCCATGGAGATTTGACACCGTCAAGTTATCTCGAGACGCCCGAACGTGCCTAGCAGGTGACTCGCAAAGAAAGTCATACTCAGGCCTGATGCAAGCAGCAATAAGTCTTTCGCCGGTCAGTAATTAGCCTCGAGAGCTGTTCTCTCATGACATACGGACAGGCTTGCAAATTCCTCCAATTTTCGAGACTCGAGCGACTGGACAGGCTGTATAGTTCTTGAGATACCAGCTATGGACGCCACGCAAGACACTGGAGGCATCAGTCAGAGCGCCAATGTTTCTGATATCATCGCTTTCGAGACCGTGTATCGCAGCGCGCAAGACGCTAAACTCCCATTCGGCCGGCACCTGAATGCTCATCACGGTAGCAGGACTCACGAAGCTGACCGACTCTGCGTAATGGACGTGTGCACGACTCCAACATCCAGCACGACAAGCATTATCTTAGATGAGTACAATATTGTTTACACCTGTCCTTCCGAAGTTGACAGCAAAGTATCAGCCCGTTTCCAGGCCCTAGCTTTGAGATTCTGCGCATGTTTGTGTTTTCATCTGCCGATCCAGCTGGAGTGGCTCTACCCTCAAGTCGATGGCTAGCACATGACCAAGCAGATACACGAGACACTCATAATCTTAGGTCACTGGATGCACGCTCTTTGGCAAGGATATCATTGATTACTTTCCCCACGCTATCACACTGTCCAGATCTCCTTGCAAGCAGTGGGTATCGAACAAGGATCGTCGACTTGTAATCTGTCATTACAGCTCAAAGGTACACCCTCCATGGCATAGAGTCATACCACCCAAGCTTGAGTATACTTTTACCTCGGCCAGATTTGAGGGTTATTATTGACTTCTACCCTGCATTTTAAATGCACACCACGCTGGAATACACACCGAGAGGGTGGGTCAAACGCTGAGTGCTGCTAACGAATGTCTCCAGACTGTCAATACTACCTTCAGGACTACTCTCCAGGTCTAGTACGTGTGAATGAGGGAACTTGTTATCCTAGTGCTCAATCTCCCACGTACTTGAATATCTAGCTGACGCGATCTACCGTCACAGCTCCCTACCAAACTGGCACAGCTTTGTAGCCTCTGACGGAACAATAATGTCTCGCGGTAGGAGGCATGCAGTCAAGTAACGCCTCGGCAGACGCGCGCCATGGGGTTGAAAAGCTTCGGATGCGGGAGTATCGTGCCTAGCGGATGGAGTCGTATGAGACATGGTAGGCGAAGCTGAAAGTTCTGACGCTTTGCGTGATCATCAGTTCAGCTTGAATCGTCACTGGGTCAAGCCCTTTTCTACACTGGGACGCGGTGTGTACGTGGGAATAAAGGTGGTATATTCTCTAGCCAGGAAATGCCAGCTCGCTGATCACACGGCGCATGCATATTCACGAAAGTCACCAAGGATGAGCCAAGGGTAGTCAGCAGCTCGGTGGCTGTTCTGCTCTTGCGGGCAGGGCTCGACGCAGAACTGTCGGCGCCATGAGCATACAGGACTGTAGATCAAGCGATGGTGAGGTACTACAGTCTACGCGAAAGTTGACGCCCTTGTATGGGCGTGGTAACATTTGTTTCTCCATCTGGGGCCGACACAAGCTCGACTGCACGCAAAAGCCTGAGTTCTCCGTGTGCGCTTTGGGAGAAAGCAAGAACCTTACAGAGGTGGCGCCCGTGTAAAACGACGTAGGTACGAATGTCCTGTCGTCATGCAAAATCGTCAAAGAGATCTACATGGACGCACGACGACCAGTTCATACCCAAAGCCGTTCTGATTGGCTCTGGGCAGGCTGCCAATTACTCAAGCCGGAATCAGCACGAACGGAAGTCATCTGAATGGGACGCTTGTGTATCCTGAAATGGCAGTCAGCCCCATCAACGAAGCTGTGAGTGGCTCGCGAGTAAACTACAAATCAAGCTTACCGGTACCTACATCCTCGTACCTGAAGGTCTCACCAAGGAGCCGAGGCACTTTGACGATTTTTGTTGAACCTAAAATTGACATGGTGGCTTGTGTCGAGTCTACACAGCTGATCTGCAGGAAATCTTGCGAGATTCGTCCTAGATACACCAAATTCTGGGTGATGTGCACAGACAAGCGAAGTAACACCCCAGGATATCTCAAACTACCAGAGTAACCCCGCTGCTGATCAAGTATGTGTCCGGCGGATGTGTGGCAACAGGAGAACGACCATGATTCGATGTAACCAAGGGGGGCATATATGTATGAGAGGTCTCATCAAGAACGGACTTCACGATTTTCTCATCCATTGCCAAACGAATAGCCACTCATATTGTACCGCCACAATGAAGTCAACAGCATCCCTCGCCATCATCGGCGCTCTTGCGCCCTATGCCTCTGCATTTCCTGCTGCCATGATGGAGGCTGCCGCTCGGGATTCCAAAATTATGGCCCGGACTGAGGAGCTTACTCGGATGATCGAAGCACGACAGGCCGGTGCCGGCGCTGCCACTGCTGTCTTTGAGCCCGTAAACACCTTCAACGAGAAGGCCCAACTTGTCGACGTATCCCAGGGTAGCGGCCACGAGTGGGTTGCGCCATCTGGAAACGACCTTCGAGGACCTTGCCCCGGTCTGAATGCTAGTAAGTTTCACGTACCTACTATATGACCGGAGCGCCGAACTAACAGGATTCTCAGTGGCCAACCACAATCTCCTGCCACATGACGGGTATGCAACCATCGCGCAATTTGTCGATGCTACTGAGTCAGTGGTCGGCATGGGCTCGGGGTTGGCCATCTTCCTGGCCGCCTTCGGTGCCACTGTTGACGGATCTGGGCTTGCCTGGTCCATCGGCGGCACACCTACTGCAGCTCAAGCCGGTCTCTTGCCTGGAGGCAACGGCATTAGTGGCTCTCATAACAAGTATGAATCCGATGCATCACCGACACGTCCAGATCTTTACCAGGCCGGTAACGACTACCAGACTGTCGCCAGCCAGTTTCAGCAGCTCATCGACGCCTCGCCAGGCTCCGTCACAATGGAGTCCCTGACCTCCTTCCGCTCTCAGCGTTTCGACACCCAGATTGCCAACAACCCATACTTTTTCAACGGTCCCTTCACCGGTGTCGCTGTCCAGCCCGCCGCCTACACATTCATCTACCGGTTCATGGCCAATCACTCTGCTGAATACCCGGCAGGCTATTTGTCCTACGACGTCATCAAGGACTGGTTTGGCATCACTGGCAATAGCGGCAGCTACGTTGCCAACCAGGGCATGGAGCGCATTCCAGACAACTGGTACAAGCGTGCAATTGAGTATCCCTACGACAACGGTTACTTTGCTGCTGATCTGGCTGCCGCTGCGTTGTTGCACCCCAAGTTCCTCAGCGTTGGTGGCAACACCGGCAAGGTCAACACTTTCACACCTGTTGATGTCGCCAACCTCACTGGCGGCCTCTACAACTCTCAGACCTTCCTCCAGGGCAACAACGCTGCGTGCTTCGCCTATCAGTTCTCCGCGCAAGTCAAGCCAGATGTCCTTCTTGGATCTATCACCACCCTCACCAACGCTGTCAACCAGATCACGGGCGCTCTTACTTGCCCCCAGCTGCAAAGCATTGATGAAGCTCAGCTTAAGCAATTCCCTGGTTATACAAAGTCTCCCGCGGCCTAAGCAGCCATAAGACGAAAGTCTTGAGAGAGAAGTTCCGCAACATTCCATCGCCTGCAGCGCGTGTAGACTGTGTGGCCTCTCGTACATATTACTATATAAGATCAAGAACAAGAGCATACGTTACTAGTACGCCGTGTGTTATCATTGTGCAGTCTCCTTACTCTCCTGTTGTAGCACTCTACCGAGACACTTCGTACGCAGGCCTGTTTTCCTAGGTCTACCTATAATATTATATTGCTTTCTCGAAATCGCGTATATATACGAAGCGAATAGTATCTATCGTAGCTTATAGGTTAGGATAGGTAGTAAATCGATCTAGTTATAGAAGGTTTCGCGTATATATATATAAAGGCGTTAGAGTTAGAGGTTCTAGTATCGAGTAGAAAAAGTATTCTTCTACCTATCGATAAAAAGTTGTTAATAGCCTACTACTAGCCTCTCTACTATATTAGAGACTAAAGATATATATACTATAGTATATACTAGCTTAGAGCTCTTATAGTATATAAGATTATCTAAAACGTAAATCTAACTAATATAAAGCCTAGAAGATAATATTTAGAATATTAAATTCTTATCTAAAGTAGTAAAGTATAGAGGCTATATAGTCTAGAGAACGTTAGAACTAGAACGTTAAGTCTAGTATATCTCTAGTATTATAAAATAGCGCTAAAGTTCTTAAAATATATATAAGTTATAATATATTAATAATTCTATCTAGCGCTTTATTTATATACTAAATAGTTATATATTATATATAGAAATAACGAAGTTCTATTACGTACTCGATAAGTAGAAGATAGCTTTAAGTATATATTATTATTATATACCTATAGTATAAGAGGGTTAGAGCTCGTTAAACGATTAAGTTCTAAGCGACGGGTTAGGTAAGTAACTACTCTAAGGTTTAACCTTTTAGTAGGTTAGTAACTTAGGTTAAATATAAACTACCTATATAAAAGACGTCTATTCTATATATATAGGAGATTTATATATAGTCGTAATTACTAATAGTAATTATAACCTAATTATAGTTACCTATAGTAATTATAATTTAGATTACTTAATTACCTAGTAATAAAGTAATCCTAGATTTAGCTCTAGAGTTAGTCTTCTAGCCTTAGACTTTAGTTCCTAACTCGTTACTAATAATTAGATTCTATATCTATAATATTATCCTCTATCTATAGTCCTATATCCTTATAGTAGCCTATAGCTTTAAAAGATTATTATTACGCTAGCGTATAGTAATCGGTCCTAATATAGTCTAGCGTACTTTCTAGCTTACCTCTAGGTAGAAAAGCGTTTAGAGTAGGTAGGGGCCGGGCCCGGGGCGCGCGCTAACTAGCCCCCTACGTAAGGCTCTTAGGCGCGCGCGCTAATTAGCCCCCCTACGTAAGGCTCCCTCGCGCGGCGCCCGTACTCTAGACGCCTTTGCCCTTCTACTAGATTCGCGACCCTACTACTACTATTAGTCCCTCTACTATAGTAGGTCCTCGCCTACCCCTCCTCGCCCTTCTAGCCTACTACGCTTTAACGGCGGCCCGACGAGGCCGTAAATCCCTTAAGATTTTCGGGAAGGGACGACGCTCGCTCCTACTACTCTAGCGCCTCTATAGACGCTAGACGCTAGTAGGATCTAAAAATCCTTTAAGATATTTAGTCTAGATTTTGGAGCTAGATCTAGGGTTAGATTAGGGTCTTAAGGTTTTAGCCCTACTCTACGCTCTACGTCTAGTCTAGCGCGCTCTAGCCCTAACCTAGCTAATATAAAGCCTAGGAGGCAACTAAATATTAGTAGGATCCTCCCTAAATCTAGTAAGGCGCGAAGCTATATAGTCTAGATTTTAGTAGGATCCTATTTAGTAGAATTCGTACTTCTAGAATCGCCTATATACTCCGTTCTATACGCTAAAATAGTCTATATCTTACTTATAGTACTTAATTATCTATTTAGTATTACTTCTAGTACGTCTAGATAGTATTTTTTAGTACTAGAGTTAGGGTATAGATATACGCTAGTAGTCGTCGGACGCGCGAGGGTTAGGGTTAGGGTTAGGG